CAAACTAGGTTATTTCAGTACTAACATAAATTCAGTAATTCGCTTTCACATAAACGTTGGAACCCTCGACAAGTCAACCTTGTCTGCGATATCACCTCGGTGGAAGCGGACGTAAAATACAACTAACTCATCATCAACAAGTCAACCACCCAACCCTTATTCAGTTTTATAAACTAGATGCTAAATACATCATTATTTTTAAACATCGGATACATTAATAGACTTTATGTTTAATCTCTACTGCACCACATCTTTTATTAAATAAGTATGTAAATTTTCCCTTTCATTAATCAATAGCGTTCAATGCATTGTTAAATGCGCCGGGCATCTAGTATGTTTTTGCATAATAGAAAAGATGTATTTTATCGCAAGTCCTCATTCATTTATCTATGTATAATGTTGATTTAGAGTCATGTTTTAATGGAATTATTATCGAAATCTCGTTCTCTTCTGTTGATCCTCCATTAAAATTATTATACATCTGCAGAAGTTGTTAAGATTTTTCTGTTATATTGCACATGCATTCACCATTAAATGAAATATAATAGGCAACACGTTTATGATACCTGATTAAATTGATGTCTTGCTAATGGGAGTGATAAAATTTCAATCGTCATTGTCAAATTAAAATGCTATAACAACACTTTAAGAACAATGGTCTCCTATCTCATTAAAATCTGACGTGTTCAGTGAATTAAGTGAATTTTAAAACCCATTTGTAAGAGTGGATCTGGTCGGTTTAGCGTTATTGTGTATCATAAAATTGTGTTACTTTCAGAACAAGCTTGTTATAGACAGTAGGTGCTAATAATAAAAGTGTTTCACCTCGGTTCCACACGAACAAAACACCTAATTATGGGTACTAAAAACCCCGCAATCTGCTGGAAATTACTTCCGGTAAAATGAAATCCATTGAGCAATTGAATGTTACAACGCATACAAAAAACTACATCTTAAAAACTTTGTATCATCAACATGCCATAGCTAGCAAAGAGGATTAGAGCACTGTGAAATCAGATGTTGAAAAAAAAACTTTCAACACTATTACGACAATTATGTTTTATGTCTGAAAAACACGAGTCCCAGCGCAGCTTGGAGCTTGACCGTTCATCTTCTACTCCCCAATAAGATCGCTTGAAATTATGTTTTGAACTGATTTTACACTAAATTCTACCCTATATGTCTTATTTGTAGAATTAAATAATACTTACATATTGTGCCTTTCTATACAGACTGTGATTAGCTTCCATTATAAGGCTATGATCATTTCTTTTCATAGTATATCGAATTTAGTTGAAAATTTTCGTTTTAAATACGGAATGTGGTTATTAAAATCTATCAAACTTTATCCACCAACATCAGCTTTCGTTGTTTTAGTTCAAAGGATGGTATGTGTCGTTATGTGTTCAAAATTACAAGCACATAAGTTGCTGCTTCAAGATAGATATTTGTCAAATGGATTATATTTTACTGGAGGCGATTTTAAACATATGGATAAGTGTTTTGATAACCATAATTAGTGTTTTATTCTTGCAAAATCCTATTGTATAAGAATGGCTCTGACAGTAAGTTACAATGCATTGGAAAAAATCCAATAAATAGATAAATGAAACGACATTGTAATATAAATGTCGAAGAAACACAAACGAAAAGAAAGGAATGAAAACTCAATACTATAATACACATTATTGTGTTGGAAAATCGTTAGGTGTTTGTTATACCTGTAACTCTTCACGACAAAATAATCAATTGGTCAATTCAAGGAAAGTATTAAGCTTCGCGATCACCTCCAAGTGGTATGTACTTAAAGCCAGTGTTTACACTTTCCGCCATTTTTTAAATGGAGACATCGTCACTTAATCTTCCCAAACGGAAGTGACGTCAAAATGACCAAATGTTTATTAAATACGTTTATTCCTCTACTGTAATGATAATTTTGTTTTATATGTAATCCAGTTAGCTTTTTTAAAAAGTGCTTTAATTTTAAATCCTATTTAGAATTTGTCACACAAGTTTCATAACCAAAACAATCGCTGCGGATGTATTCACGTTTCCTTTTTTTCAGAATAAATTCGAGTAAGCCAACAATACACTTACAATAATAGACTTCCGATTAAAACAACAAAACGGACGTGAAATGAACGTAAACATGAAAGAAATATAACTAATAAATAATGTCGGTGTTTACGAAACGTGCAATAATCGTACAAGTCATCGATATTAGTGTTATAATACAGGGTGCTGTTTCTCGAAATCTTAACTAAAGATAAAATCGAAATTTTAGTAGATACTTCAATTTTGATTGGCTAAGCACTAAAATCAATCTAATATTATCCAATCAAATTACTAAAATTTGGATTTTATATTAGTAAAAATTTCGTGAAACAGGACCCAGACTGCTTTGGCACCAAATGGCCTATTTGCATTATTTGATACTTTATTCATAAGCAAGGCTAATTTGAAAATTTCAGACAGCCCAACCACAACTTAAGTAGCTCTCTGTGATTATCTTATCGTATACAAAACATTCATATGGTTACCTTAAATGCGATTTTAGAAAATCGAAACATATTTAGTTTATTGGCTTCGGGTTAGTCACCGTGTTACATAGATTACTGGCTTCTGGTACGATTCGGGTTTTCCTTGGTTTGGATTTAGTTTTATAAGTTCTGACTTATTAGGGATATTTTTAAGGAATCTGAAGCACTGGGGCATAGGGGGTCCGGGGAGGTTGTCTATCAAATAAACCTCTCCCCCCATAAAATTTGAATTTTGGTATGAACTTTCACGATTCAAATGAAGGTTATTGGGAATGAAAATAGTTTAGTTTTCTGTTGTTTTATTTTTTAAAAAAAACTTGGTGTTTTGATTTCGAGTTTACCGATATTTTCTAAATGTTCCTTTTCTTTTTTATTTCGCTCACGTTCATTGTTGGTTTTATCGAAGAGTGATAGTTGTTTAATTCTCCCAAAATAGTCCCAAATAATTATGACCAGACGATAAATATGTCATCCAGGAAACGTCGATAGATCATCGGTTTTAGAGAACATACAAGAAGATGTTCTCGCTCCCATTCATTCTGCGAGGAAAATATTCGCATACATTGGAGCCAGTTTTTCCCATGGCTTTTCCCGATCGATGTTTAGAGATACACCCTTTCCTTAAAGTTACAATTTCATATTTTCTAAGAAAGTCAAAACATAATTATTTCTATGTCTATTGCTCAATAGGTTGTCAACCCACTATTATACGATCATAGGTTATCTTTCTCACACTTAAAAATCTTCACACCGGAAATAATAACACAATTACCTCCCTTGTTTTTCTATTCCCCCCATGGAATAGCTATCTTCAAACGTTTGAATTTGAAGTTGAAAATGATATTTTTGCCAGTTTCTCAACTGGCAATAGTGGATTATAGCATTAATAGGATTTTTCTTTAACAAGGTAGGACTGTTTATAGATACCATCTATTTTAAGGCTTTATTTTAATACATTTTAAAAATATAAGTCCAGTGATATCTGAGTCGGGAGATGACGGCACAGGGGTCTTGCTCGAAAGCTTCAAGATAAAAGGATCATTATTCATGTTAGTGTAGATATGAATTGAAATTGGGATTGAGGAACGGACTACGTGTTCATAAACACGGTAACGTGTACTGGAGTTGTCTGAGATGATCGATTGACCCGGATTTTTTTTCATTTAGACAGGGTATGTTTGTGGCCAGTTGAGCAGGTCTGTTATCTATAAAGGCATGAAATTTTTTTTACGGTTTTCTGCTTTATTTATTTATTTATTTCAATTTGGTATTTCTGTCGTTTATATCTCCGCTTAGTTAAAAAAACAACGTATGTGCATTATTTTACAAGCTCAAACTTGCATTAGTCTTTACGTCAGTTATCACCTCCTGTTTTGTGACAAGGGCTAGGCTTGAGCTGGGGTTTTGCTGCTTTTCGAATGTATAATGCATAACGGTGGAGGGAGAGTTAAGGGAGGGGGGGGGGGGGTACAGGGGGTCAAGTTCACCCGTTGTTAGTTTACCCTTGGTGTTACCGTTTATTGAATTTCGGTCGGAACTAGAATCATCATAAACCAATATATGCAACATAAGGAGCGGGTTTTCTGTGGTTGACAATTTCTTACCCGGTGTTTCTCTTCTGTCCCTGGGTGGCAATACTCTTTTACAGCGAGGCGAGGTCGCTATCTGCATTTCCATATATTACAAAGCGGCCCGCTATCTGCATATCTATATATATTCATGGGTCGACGTTGATGATAAATTACGGGATAAGAGACATGGCCGGGTGGGCGAAGTTCAAAGAACTTATCTCATGTGATGCTAGACAGATATTTACCAAATGATTTTATTGAACCAAAGTTTCCGGATTGATAAATTTTGGTTGGTGTTGTTTCTGTAACCAAGATACTATATTTTGTAAGGTTACTCGCAGTGAGATGACAGAGCAGCGTCGATACCTGCTACCTGGATTGACAAATTGCAAGAAATACCACGCATTGGCTGACCATGAGCTTGTTTTCAATAATGCCAACCTGATGCTTTCATAGTAGGGCCATCATTGCGATTGATTCCTTCTGACGATGATTTGTTTGTCTCTTGGGGCGTTCCCTGTATTTATGGAGACTTAGGGTTTATTTCTTTTCGGGCCATATTGTCGGACGTTTTTTCATGTTGCTAAAGCATATCGTCATGCGTCGTTACCATCTATTTTCCTGCTTAGGACGCATGCCCCAATGGGAACACATGTCGTCCTGGACCAAACGTCAGTTTGTAGTGCCTGTCTACTTGTGTCGGCGGCTGTCCTGATCGACAAATCTTATGTCGGACGTTTGTCCTGTTGACATTTCGCCATTCCACGAGAAGTTATCCTTGCGGTAGGGTATACCCCTTTTCTGGTTTTCAGGAGTCCAGTATCTGTTTCCTCAATAACAATCCCGGTTATCTCGGTACCTGACCGTTGTAAAAATAATATCATCAGAATAGGGTGTTATATTAGTTTATGTGCGGATATGACTTTTACATCACAAGGTGCTAGGTTTTTAAAATGGTAAATTTAGATATACACAGCTATTTAAATGGATATACTGTAAAAAATAATAAAATACTACATTTTAAAAGTGCTTACAAATTGGAATTGTCCCTAATATTTAACTACATAATCTCCTTTCATTTGTCTATAGCTACTTCGACGATCACTTCGTACCTGAAAACTTGGGTCTCGACCACAAACACCTGCTGATTAAGCGCCATATTTTTAATGCCACATACTCCAAGAATTCAGAAATTGTCAAAACACTTGCTCCCAAAAAGATTCCCATCTGGCCACCTAGGGTAGCTGAAGTTTAAAATATTAAAAAAGATAAATAATTCGGATTCATCTTGCGAGCCTATAAACTGATTTTGAACTTTAAAAAAAACAAGTTAAAGAAAATAAATATTTCGGATTTTATCTAATGAACCCTATAAAATGAATTTTCACTTTAAACAAAAAGAATGGGTGCTGAAATGAAGCCAAAACAAAGTTTAAAATGTACAATATTTTAATGTCAGGACTGTTGTTGTTATGTAATATGCAATTAAGTACATTCTAGAATAAGATGGCCTTATATGAAAAGACAATACAGTTATATATTGACGGTGATATGAAACCGATTTACAATTAATGACAATGATATATGCACGCATACAGCAAACCAAAATTTTTATAAGGTGACACCATCACTTGGGATGCTCATTAAATTACTTACCCAGAATATTATCTAAGTTATACACTGGAACCTGGCTTGATTCAGTTTCTACCAAATTCTCGTAGAAGATTCGTACTTCAGCATAATTAGTACTGTTCAAAAGTCAAAAAATAATGTTTTCCAGCATGATTATTTTGAACTAATATAAATAAAGTTTTGCCATTGCATAAACATATTGCTTATCACATTTATCATCCGTATAATGTGAGACGTTAATACAAGTCTTGCTAAATCAAAGAGTCTATTCTAAGCTAAATTAAGGTTGGTTAAAAGCAGCATCTCAGGTTTCAGAGGGCGGACTGTTTATCTTGAAGGGACGTTTTAGCGCAAACAACGGAGACGCTCGATATTTATGCCCTTTTCATTTGTTTAACAGTCAGTAAGTTTGTTTTTAATTAAATAGTCCTGTTAGTGCAGATAACTGGGGTGTTAAACTCCATTTCATGAATTTACTTCCTAATTTACTAGTAACAACATTACGAAAAACACAACTGTAATATAAAGAAATGGCGAATTCAGTGTGGAAATAATGACAAATATAGCCTTTTATTAGCTTTAGATTTTTGAATGCACAAATGAAATGAAATGGGGTTTAACGTCCTACTGTTCTGCTCCGACTGGGCTAATGTGTCCATATGGTGTGCTATGAGGAATATTTTGCCTGGGCACCGGCGCTATGGCCTTGTCTTATATCGAATTCAACTGTCAGGGGATCTTTTACGTGCTTGCCAATGTATACACGGGACCTGTTTTTCGTAACATCCGAACGACTAGACGGCTGTCCTTGTCAGGCCCTCTATCCTGCACCACTGACAAGGGGAAACCATGTCGGAAAATCCCAATGAACTTTCTAGGCCAATGCCGGGATCGAACATCCGACCTCCAGACTAGCGAGCCAGCGCCATACCGACTTAGCCACCGTTGCATCCTTAGATAGATAAGCATTCCACTTAATTATTTGGACTGGTGATTCAGAGATAATAAAGATAAACTCAATGGAAAGTTAGGTGACATTTAGTGATATTCAGTACCATAAACCTGCACCTACCTCCAATCGGAAACGTTATAAGCCAATTCTAAAATATTCTGCATAACACGTGATGGGTAGTAAGCTGTCGAAAGTTGTACTTCATAGCTGGTAGATTCGCATGGTTTAGGGCAGTTGCACAATTTGTTACTCATTTGGTTAAAATAATCTGAATAGAGGACATATTAAAATATAATACCAAAGGTCCAATGTAAACATAATTTGTTACGTATTTGGTTGAAATTATTTGAATTGGGAAAATATTAATATATTATATCATTGGTTCAATACAAAACATACTCCCAATGGTATAGCGCCGATTGATTTGATTTAATGGTTGTAGACACAGCTATATATCCTATAGGGCAATCATGCTTCACAACTTAGAAAGTCAAAATAATACAGACACGCTCCAACTTAAACTGAAAACTTTACAAATTATTGTGACTTTGGCTGATGATGTCTGAGGGATATGTATTATGTCACTTAGAATCTGTGTCAACGAATTTTTCAAATTATTGTCCTTGATGGCTTTGCCTGGTGGTGCCTATGTGTTGGGTGGGTGGGAATATTGCATTGCTCTTTATCTGTGTCAACGAATTTTATATTTTCAAAAAAAAACCCAATAAAAGGATGAATATCTTTAAGGTCAGGATTTTAAATTTTAATCGTTTTTATAAAATATAACAAATTTTTTTGAAGTTGCGAATTTTGTTCTTGTATCCAATGTAGCCTATGCTGTTTCCCGTATCGCCTGTTGCTAAATGTTATGTTATGTTATCAATGAAACTGATAAGTGGGTTCTAATGTCCTTACCTCTTTCTTTATTATAACACGTAGATAATTCTCTTAAGCTACATAGTGTATCATTACCTGAAACAAAACAAAAAAGGTACCATATCTCGCGAATGACAAGTTTAAATATGCTTTTAGATAGGTGTATGCCCATTTCAAGTTCAATGAAACCTCGTTTGGGTACCATCGTAATCATTCGTAATATACTTAAATTACGTGATTCATGGGAAATATAGGAAATCTTTTGAAGCAAAGGCAATAACTTTTCAAATAATGAACACTCTTTATAATGCGAGGCGACACAACCAGTAAATACATTAACTAACTATAAAATATGGTGCATTTTACCGTTAAGGCAATTTCTCATGTTTGATCCCGGTGTTGGCCGTTAAGGTAGATCCCGGAGTTGGTCGGGATCTTCCAGAATGACTTCCCCTGGACAGCGGTGCGGTATAGAAGGCATAGCAAGGGAAGCGTATCTAATCGTGCAAACGACAATATTGTGAACTATGAATCTCTAACAGGAATATCAGTACAAAAATGGTTCAGTTCCTTTCAGTATTTACAAAGAAATGTAGAATTGAAATTTCATCGATCAATGCTAATCGCTATGCAATAAGCCCGCCGCCAATTTGCTGTCCGCGAAAATTCATCGATATGATTATTATAAATCCGACTGAATCCAAGCCGGGACATATCTAGCGTTGATTTTATTTGCTTAATTAAATGTTAAATAATTAATCTGAGTACATATTAACGTGGATTATCAAGCATCGCTAACACTGCAATATACGTCCATATTCCTGCGTTGATTGATATGGTACTTTTTAAAATGAAGAGAATGAAATATGAAATGGCTGGAATATGACAAGAGGCAAAGAATGCTAGGCGATGGGTTTGTTTTTCCAAATTTACAGACCAAATATTAACAAAAAAGTGGGTGTGACACTGCTACAGGGGGTCGGGACATGCACCAAAATAAATAGTTGCTGTCTTTGCGGTATAAGGAATACATATGCACAGTTCCAAGACGATCCATTCAGAATTGCAGCCTGTAGACGATAAATACAAAAAATGGGCGTGGCTCTGCCCCTGGGGGTTGGATATGGAACAATATAAATAGGTACCACCCTGTTATTGAAATGATTGATATGCTGAATTTCAACAAAATCTGTTAATTATTGCAACCTGTAGAGTATTTACCGTTAATAACTAACAAAAAGTGGGCGTGGTACGACACCCTGGGGGTGGGGACATGCACCAAAATAAATAGTTGCTATCCTTACAGTATTAAGGAATAAATATGCCAAGTTCCAAGATGATCCATTTAGAATTCCAGCTTGTAGACAAAAAACACAAAAATTGGGTGTGGCTCTGCCCCTGGGGCATATACAGGTACAACCCTAGGCAGACTGGATCATTCCGAATTAGATCCAAATCTGTTAATAATTGCATCCTGTATATCATTTACAGACAAAATATCAACAAAAAGTGGGTGTGGCACGGCCGAAAGGGCAGGGTTGGGGGTGGAGGAGGGGGCGTGCACCAACATCACTAGTTGCCGTCCTTAGGGTATAAGGAATAAGTATACCAAGTTCCAAGATAATCCATTTAGAATTGTGGCCCTCGGGCACTAAAGGCAAAAATTGGGCGTGACTCTGCCCCTGGGGGTCGGTGCATTCACCAAAATCAATAGTTGACGCCCTTAGGCTATGAGGAATACATATGCCAAGTACCAAGTTGATCCATTCAGAATTGCGGCCTGTAAGCGATAAACACAAACATTGGGTGTGGCTCTGCCTCTGTGGGTCGGGACATGCACTTGTCGTCCAGAGACACAGATGGGTGTTGGTCAGCCCCTAGGGTTTGGGCAATCACCAAAAAACAAAAGGGATCGTCGTAGGGTATAAGGATTAGATATGCAAAGTTTCAAATTGCGGCGAAACACAATACACACAAACATTGGGCGTGGCATGCACCAAAAATAATAGAGATCAGCCTTAGGGTATACGGAATAAGTATAAAAAGGTTTTCAAGATGATCGATTAAAAATAGGCTTGGCCCTGCCCCTGTGGGTTGGGCATTCAAAACAAACAATAGGGATGTTCTTTAGGATAGAAGGAATAAGTATGCAACGTTTCAAGATGATACGTTAAGAAATGCGGTCTGTAGATGACAAACAAATAAATACAAAAAAATGGGCGTGGCTCTGCCACTGGAGGTCGGACATGCACCAAAAACAATAAGAATCACCCTTAGGATATAAGGAATTCATATGAAAATTTTTCAAGACGATCGATTAAGAATTGTGGCCTGTACGCGACACACAGACATACAAAAAGAAAATGGGCGTGCCTCTGCCACTGGGGGATTGCCATACACCCAAAACCATAGGGATGTTCCTTCAGGTACAAAGAATAAGTATTCAAAGTTTCAAGATGATACGTTAAGAAATTCGGCCTGTACACGACAAAAATAAATATACAAGTAATGGGCGTGGCTCTGTCCTTGGGGGTCGGCCACGCGCCAAAAACAATAGGGTATAAGGAATAAGTATGTAAAGTTTGAAGATGATCAGCTAAGAATTGTGGCCTGTAGGCGACACCCTCCTCCCCCCCCCCCCACACACACACACACCCACACACAGAGAGACAGAGGCGACGGCAATATACGTCCACATTATGAATGTGGACGCATAAAATCCCATTTCTATTTACCGTAATCAGTGTAGTAGACACAATGACATTTTTCCAGCAGATATTTCAGTCGACACTCTTTCTTGCAAGACGTGACGTCGTATTTTTCTGAATTCTTCAAAGTGTGGTTGTAACTTGGGGCCTTGGTATCAAGACAGGTTATGGTGCCAAATGCTTTAAATGGACTTGGTAAATGTCGATACTGTAAACATATAGGAACATTAAATATGATGCTGCCGCCTTAAATTATTGTGTATATCTTGCCCAAGAAATAAAGAAGCGTGGAAATACGCCAGCACAGCAGCTTTGCCTCAACTGCAGCTTATCCGAAAGGAAAACTTGGTTGACACTAATTGGGTATATCCTCTCATGACCAAGTTAAAAACTACAGCCCAAGGTTTGCACAAGGTTTGCGGCAAAGAAAGGATAACTCCGGAATGGAAAGTCGCGGAACAATGTATATAACGGTAAGGTTTGTACTTACATGAAAAGGTCGCAGAACGATGAAAATACATGTAAATAGTTCATCAATTCATGACCCCGATCTTCCCACCAAATTTTTAAAATATCGCGTTCAAAATGTTTTCGGTAAAGTGGGGATAACTCCGGAACAAAAAGTCGCGGAACGCTAAAAAAAAAAAGGCTTGATCCATTTATAACCCCAATGCTTCCTAGCAGATTTGAAAACAAATCCACGTAAACTAAAGCCTCTATCCAATTCAAAATGTTTTCGGAACGAAAAGTCGCGAAACGGTAAATATCGAATGGTTTTGTTTTATAGTAACCAAAATGTTTCAGATCAAATTTGAAAAAAAAACCTACAGCATCATGGCACAAGGTTTTCAAAAAAGGGAAATAACTCTGGAGTGGAAAGCCGAATATTGACGGGTTTCGTCCTCTCATAACCCAAATACTTCATAAAAAATTTGAAAAGAATCAGTCGAAAACGGTAGCTTCTATCGCGTCCATAAGGTTTTCGGTGAAGGGGGTTATCAACGGGACAGAAAGTCGCGGAAATGTTACCTCGTTCGCGGTAACAAGGTTTTTGGAAAAGGGCGGATAACTCTGGAATAAACATCAATAGAGTTCGTCCATTCCAGACCACAATGCATCAGACCAAATTTGAAAAGAATCCGTCGAAAACTATAGACTCTGAAAGTTATCGGCAAGGGGGTGTGGGGGGGGGGGGTAATCCTCCAGAACGAAAAGACGTTGAAGGCTGAAGATTGAGAGGGTTCATCCCCCCATGAACTAGCGTTTACAACTAAATTTGAGTAAATAATTCTTAAAAAATATAGTCTCTGTCGCGTTCACAAGGTTTTCGATAGGTTCTGTCGCTTCATGACCACAATGCTTCACGCTAGAACCTTAAAGATACATTATGGGAGATTCGATAACGAGTTGGCAGTTCTCACTAAAATAGTTAAAAACTAGATAATGTAAAGGCAATTTGCTGAAAATTTCATTCAAATTGATCCACTATGAACCGAGAACTAAGCGGTTGAAATTTCCGCCTAGCCTCGGCCATCAATTCTAAAATCAGTACGATAAACAGCATAGGCTCGATTGTCCATTTAATCGTTAAATCGTGAAGGAAAGTTATGCAGTATATCGGCTCACAATCCACCAAAGATCGCAGGCTAGCGATACCATCTAGAGTTGATTATGGTCTGGATAAGTTAATTAATGTCTAATTAATAATTTAGATTACATTTCAGGTCTAAAGAAAGACCTACAATAGACAGAGTTAGCTCTTGCATAATGTATGTTTAAAGAATCCGTCGAAAACAGTAGCCTCTATCGCGTTCACAAACTTATTGGAAAAAGGGGAAATAACTCGCAGACTATTGAATATTCATCGGATAACAATGGGATGGAAAGCCGTGGAAATGTAACCCCGTTCGTGGTCACAAGGTTTTCGGCAAAGGGCGGATAACTCTGGAATAAACATCAATAGGGTTCGTCTATTCATGACCACGATGCACCACACCACATTTGAACGAATCCGTCAAAAACTGTAGCCTCTATCGTGTTCACAAGCCAACTGTACTGTAGACGGACAGACCGAAGGGCCCACGGACAGGATGAATAGAATCATCTTGATGGACATGGTATTGTATTTCAATGAATGGAATAAGCCCAAAGGAGAACACTTTTTTTCTGAATTTACCAGTTATTATATCTTCACTTACTTTGATCTTTTTAACACTGGCATAAGTTGTGAATCCGGGTGACACCAAAAAACCGTTGTTATTGAAATCTGGTTCTTCATCTGGGTCATGAAGTACAATCTAAATAAAAAAATAAACTGGTATCATCTTCAAGTATCCGCAGCTCCTACTTCAAGTGCCTGCACACCTTCTAATTCTTGTACCATTTTGACAACGCAATCATTTTCAACCTCACCACTACAGGAATAGAGCTTGCTGCTGGTGGAGTTAATGAAGGTTCATCTGTTTCAACAATGGCGTTCGGTAATGGATCCCATTCCCTCCCTAGTACCTGATAGCCTGTTGGTCATCTAAAACTGAAATATTTGCAAGCTCACGTTGTCCAGCCAGTCCCCTCCCCCCAGTAACTTTAAAAAATAAAATAAAATATTTGTGATATGTTTCGGTAAACATCACCTCCTACGGTAATTAAATCCCGCATACGGTAATTAAATCCCACATTCCCACTCAGTATAGTTCAGAAGTGCTTTTTATGATCGTCCAAATTTTGGGGTATAGGTCCAACGCAGCGAGAATATCGATTCACTTTGATTCACTCACTACGTTCATTTGCCACGTTCCTCTCTGTCGGATCAGCTAGTGATTAACCGAAAGGCAGTATCTGGTGACAAGGGTATCCGCAGCTTGACTGTAATAAGTTTCCACTGGGAGCGGGCATTGAAGTTAGACTTGGACAATGTGGTCGATCGCTTCGTTAAAATATACCCTACTGGAATCATTAGTTTAGTAATTGTTTGCATCAAAATCTTTATTCTGGTTGCAACCCGCACTTAGGTATTGAATTATTGCATTTCTGCCCACAGTGGTTCTTGTAATTTTGAGTGATTTTTAGCGAAACACAGCGGTATTTATCTCGACGATATGCCAGACAGCATTTCCGGCAGTCGATTTTTCAAAATTTTGACCTCTATGATCGACTCACTGACATTTTGTAACTTCGTTGATTTCTTGAAAATTGTGATCAAAGCCATGTTCTTGCTTGCCTTTCATGCTCTCCTCCATGTAGGAGGATTTGAATCTACTAACTCTACTACTTCTCACAGCCCACAACGTAACGATATTCAATTCATTGTGAAATCTCACTGAAACATTTCAAACATAGGTCTGGTAAGCCAGTTTTCCTCGTCTCCCCCAACCGAACCAGTGTCAGTGTGTGCCCTAGGGACCTTTATTCTCATTTTTAGAGGGTACCCCAGTCTGTCGACAACTTTTAAAGTGGGAGGAGAGGTGGTATAATGGGAGAAACTACAAAGGGCATAGTTTTCGCATCGATGGGGGAACAACATCCGCTTTGAAGGGTGTGGGTGACTTTAGTATTCAACAAATGGGCAGATGGCGATCTTCCGCAACTAAAGAGTATCGACGTATTCAGACATTACTTGGAGTCCCTTTATCTAACGGTAGCTTCCCTACAGCTGTAAGCAAACGTAGCTGCATTAAGACTATTTTCATGTACTTAATATTCCCACTGATAATTAAAACACTTGGTGAAGGATGCGATGCTTAGGATTCCATAACGTTTCGGCACTTGCTCAGTCATGTTGTTTCAAAGTTTATTTGCTGCAACAACTTTTAACAAATGTACATAACACTTGACAAAATCGCAATAACAAGCATCTGTGGATAATTTCATGAAAGAATTCACTACAAATGCACAAAACCGAAACGTCAGAGAACCATAAAACAAAGTTCGTCCCAAAGGTGTTCGATCGGGTTCATGTCGGGAGACATAGCGGGTCAATCCATAACACGGACATGATGATTGTTCAGAAAGTCTCTTGTCAACCTGGCAGTGTGGGGTCGGGCGTTGTCATGCTGGAAAAATCATTTGTCGACGGACGCCATGTTGAGCCAGCAATGGAAGCAACACCGGACGAAGGAGCGTTGAGATTGCCTTGGACCACCACCAACTAGGACCTGAAGTTGACGTTGATAGCGGTCCAAACCATGACGCCACCTCCCCCGAAACGATCCCTTTCCATCACGCAGTTACGAGCAAAGCGTTCATGTCGCCGTCGGTAGATACGGTGACATCCATCAGGAAAACTGAGAGGATGACATTTCGCAATGGTGTGTTGTGCAGATACCCCTGATTTGTGGCCCATTGCTGTCTGGCAAGTCGATGACGATGCAAAAGGATTTGACCTTGGTAAGGTCGACGTCAGCGTAACCCAAGAGCAGTCAGGCGCCTTCGGAAAGCCCAAGAAAACGTTTACCAGAAATATTTAACGAATTAGACATTGCGTTTTTAATGGCTATAATATGTCTCCTAGCATAATCTGTACAGTTGGAACGTATTATTGTATGTCGTCACCGTAAAAAAACATTTTCGGTACGACTGAGTACAATAACTTTTGGGACAACCTCACCATATTTTCGTATAACACTCAGCAAACATCACATTTATAAATAAATCGATTGATTCGCGTTGCAAGGAGTCGATGAAAACAGCGGCCCGATTACAACCCTTATTACAGAAAGTATACTGAAAGATGTGAACTTAACTTTCGGTAAATATCTGATAGAACGCATTTTATAAATAAACGTTACTTGCCTTAAATCCAGCTCCCATCTGGAAACTGGGGATATAATTTGATTGGTCTACGAATAGGTGCAAACGTAGTCCTAACTGACTCCCCGTCAGATTCGTTGAAATGTTGTCTATTGATTTTGCGCTGAAACATACACCTGCGTCCGTAATCTTAGGTTTGAAGACATGTAAACACGGCCTATAGGAACCCTCGAAGAAACAGTCCTGAATCATTTTTGGCAGCGTAAATGCTACCTGTTGATAAAACTCTCTTGTTAGGGGTACATTAGCAAAGTCGTATTCTGGTGCAGAAAAGTTGATGGGTGACGCTAAATTGCCAAGTGCCGACATGTTTATCAATACGTTGTTCATTTCGTTTGTCTTCGGTAAGTATGAAGCGTTGAAAGGAGATATGTTACATATTGTAACTTGCGGATAGTCAATTCTGTCTACCACGGATATTTTAAGTGAATTAGTGTAGGGATATTTATAGTAATCAATGACCAGACTACTGATGACATAAAGTAGTGCTGATATCATACCAAAAACCCCAATCAACCAGATTATCCTGTAAAGAAATAAAACAGCGTGTTATATTACACTGACAACATCGTGTTCTCCGAATTTCTATAATATATTCTAAAAATAGATGTGTGGAATATTTGTTACATAATATGCTGATTTCTCGAAACAAGAAACCATGTTTTATAATAATATTAAGTCAAATGAAATGAGATTTAACTGCCTACTTTTCTGCAGCAATCGGGCCAACGAAGACGTGGATCTGTGCGGCGTCCCTACTCTTCTTCAAATACGTGATCGAACTAGGGACCTCCTTGTTGTCTGCCACTGTATTAGAATAACCCGAAGGGTCGGTTGTCGAACGGTGTCCCAGATCTATTTCCAGATTAAGAATCCATATACTACTATTTTCCTAAATGCGTTCACACGAATCTGTGAACCAGACTTAATAGTAGGAACTCTTCGCCTTCCATTTAAATCATATTAAAGCCAGATCTATAAGGCCGTCTTAGAAAGCCAGTCTAATAAGGCCCTGTGCCTGCCCTTGCCCCCTCCATCTGACGCTTGCTTCACTCAGTAACACCAGTATAACTAACATACATAATATGCAGTTGTATGCCCTGTAAATCTGAGGATTGATTTTCATCAAATTACTCATCTGATCATAATCGCTAGATGAAAGAATTCACATTCACTGAGTTCTTAATTATTTAATCAAATCATTTACCTTCTGAGTATATGATGGCTATCTTCAAAGGCGTGTTTAATCCCATGTAGCGAAGTCGTTTGCGTAAATACAGGCCAGGCATATTCATCATCGTTTTCTTTTCGCGTACAATTTTCTCTACTATCCTCTGGCTGCTGATTTGACGATTTCACGTAGATCTTGGGCATATTTTTTTTCTTTTTTAAAAAATCACCGAGTTGATAGTCAGAGTTACAGCAAAGCAGAGTAGGAAACTGATTTTATTTAACCAATTCATGGATATAAAATACACACGATACAATTCAATCGAATAAAATTAGTGTATATTCTGGATCGGCGTTTCGACTAGGATTCTCTTGATGTAGCCAAGTAATGGCATTCTTCTCTGGTCGTTATCATACTATGATAAAATACCAGATGACCATCATTAATGTTATAAAACAAATCAATAGGCCTAGTAATTAAAAAAAATCTAGTCATATCAATAACACCAGTTATTTGTATGAACTACTAATTGATACCGTTTTATGAACCCATTAAGAGTAAACAATGTCTTGTTTAGATATCTCCTGGGATATCATTGCAATGTCAGCATCGGTCTTGTTGTATTTGCTGCCGTATATATTGGTGAAACCGAACATTAATAATATTTATGAGGAGACATATTGTAGACCATATTATACTTTTTAAGACTGACTCATTACAAAAACTCTTTATCTAATAATTTCTTAATCGACAATAAAGCTAAGTCCAATGTTCCTTTGGCCTAGGAATTGGTATTTTCACAGAAAATGTGTATTATATTCTCAATTATCTTATCATATGAATACCATAACATACTACAATTAATATATAATTTGGGTTTTTGTCCGACTCTCCATTTAGATGTTTGTATAGTAGGTAAAATAAAGGCGAGTCTTAATGGAATTGTAAATAAAACCATTTCTGACCTATACAGATGATCTATACAGTTTCAGATGTTTTATTTTACAGGAATCGTCAAATAAAGATAATAGGCAAAAAATCTATAACATTTAATTAAATATTTGCATAACTAATGGAAGTAAGAACATTTCAATGGCGCTAACGATTGTTATTTGTTAACTTTAACTGCTATAATAACGATTTGTTACAAATAATGATTTTCAATCTCGTGTGTTTTCAGACCATGAAAGGGCGCTCGAAATCATCAATTGAATAAGAAATGGGGGTCAATTATTTATTTTGGGGTTGATGCGGGGTGGAAATCATTCTTGGCTTGTTTTGAATTTAACACTTTGTTGTTGGATATCTAAATCAGGCAGATATTTGGCTTCTAGGGTTTCCCTCGTTTGAATACATCGATGATGTTGAATGGTGGCATACGAAGACTGGTTGAACAGTTCTAATCCTATCTGAGAAAGACCTGTACAAAGTCCATAATTTCCATTTATCTTGCCCTTGATGTTGCAAGGCCTGGGTCTCAGTTAGGAAGAAATTTTCTTCAGCCACCCTAAAAGACGTCGTTCACAGCTGACATGACGTCATCATTGCTAGAAAAATGACGACCGACTAGTTCCTCTTTCAAATCGGGTGAGTAAGGTGGATGGTCAAAAATTTCGAAACCACAATCATGGATCGCTGACATGCCAATCACCGATTTATGAACAGGAACATTGTCTTGGTGGAAGAGGACGCATTTAGTGAGAATCCCCCGTCGGTTATCTTTTTGAGGGGCTTGCAGTTGGAATTCAATCAAGATCAGGAACATTGTCTTGGTGGAAGAGGATGCGTTTAGTGAGAATCCCCCGTCGGTTATCTTTTTGAGGGGCTTGCAGTTGGAATTCAATCAAGAGTAGTTAAAAAACCCACTCTCCTGGCAAAATGACCCTCACAACCAACTGCGCCGCGTAATTTTTATTCAATAGCTTTCAGTTAAAAAGCTTGTTAGCACTGAAAGCCGGATGTGAAATATTTGATTTAACTCTGGAGGTTAATACCAGGGTTATTTTTTAAAATTATATATTTGTTCTGGTTAACAGAAATGTTATTAATTTAAAGTAGCTAAGTCTCTAACTCAACATCATCCAAAGTTTTTGACATTGAAAACACGAAGTATTTGTCAATTTAAATCAACATTGATGTTGTGATCTTACCGGGAAAAGATGGGCTTCTGATATCCAGTGTTTAAGACAAACAAAATAAACATTTTACTATTGTACACGAAATGAAACGAAATGAAATGGGGTTTAACGTCCTACTGTTCTGCTCCGAACTGGGATAATGAAGCCGGGCATACGCCATACAGTGTGCTATGAGGGAAATTTTGCCCGGACAGCGGTACTACGGCCTACTCTTAAATCGAATTCCAACTGTCAAGGGATCTTTTACGTGCACGCCAATGTGTACACAGGACCTCGGTTTTTCGTCCCTTCCGAACGACTAGACAGCTGTCCTTGTCAGGCCATCTGTCCTGCATCACTGACGAGGGGGAACCTATATTGTAACAAGGGACTTGAAGAACGAGGCTAGACATATTCTACAAGTCATGTCAAACGGTGACCTCATATTCTTATCTAGAGATAAATACTATCGGCATAGACTGGGATAACCACACGCTAGAGATTATCATTCGATTGAGATTTCTGGCGTATTTCGCCGAACATAACGGATTTGAAACGGAAATGATTAAATGTAAATCAGGTTATATACCTTCATAACACATTATTATATGCGTGGCGATCCAATTGTGGCAATTTCTAGATCCCAAATATTAGCGATTTAGCTCCTTTAAAGTCGAGTTTGGGATGATTTTTCACAGACGTTTATTGCCATACATATAGAAAAGGGAGTGGAAAATATGGACATAACGAAGAGATCAGATATAAGTTAGCTTTCGGGTAACACATATTTATAATATCTCTCTATAGTGATGGTATTATACTCATAAATATCATAGCTGTCTATATATTGTGGTGGTATTCTACTCAAAATTATCATTGCTGTCTATAGTGATTCTAAACATAGCAATGGTATTCTATACGTAAATATCATAGTTGTCTGAAGTGAATATATTTTACACATAGATATCATAGCTGTCTTTAGTGAAGGTATTCTACACATAAATATCATAGTTGTCTATAGAGATGATATTCTACTCATATATATCATAGCTGTATATAGTGATGGTATCCTATACATAAAAACCATAATTGTCTGTAGTGATGGTATCCTATACACAAATACCATAGCTATCTATAGTGATGATTTACGTCACATTCATATCATAACATATGGGAGCATTATAAGGACTTCATAGCGGATATAATGTGTAACGTCAAAAGATATAACACATGAAATTAGATGTTAATATTAATACGTTTTAGTATTGTCGGTATTAGATATCCACTGTCTACACATACAATTATAGAACTATCTAGTTTTAGCCAGACGTTTCTGTACACGATTTCCCCCGTAAGCCAACACCACTTGCTCTTAATTCTCGGATTAACAAAAGATAGTCATACAAAGCGTGGAAATACACCCACACAACAGCTTTGTCTTCTGAAGGGAAAACTTGGATGTTCTTCAAATTTGGTGAATTCTTCGGAAAGTCGACGAACGCTTATTATCAATAGGGTTCATGCTCTCAAGATCCCAATGCGTCCTCACATATTTGAATGAAATCCGTTAAAAACCATAGACTCTAGCTTTACACGATTTTTGGCAAAGGGGGGATACCTCCGATACGAAAAGTCGCAGAACACTGAATATCGATAGGTTTTTTTTTCTCTCATGACCACAATACCTCACATCAAATTTGAAAAAAAAACATCCTTTAAAACTACATCCCCTATCGCGGCGTCAGGGGGTTTTCGACAAAGGAGGGATAACTCCAGAACGGAAAGTTGTAGAACACTTCTGTTCACAAGGTTTTCGGAAAAGCGTGCATTACTCTGGTACGCAAGGTCGCAGAACACTGAATATCTCATGTCCTCGATGCATCATACCAAATTTGTCAAAAACATTCCGTCAAAAACTATAGTCTATATCGCGTTCACAAGCCTGTTGTTGACGGCGGACCAAAGGACAGGTTTGTGACATAATACGCCCACAATGAAATGTGGCGTTGAATATTTCATGACCACGATGATTTATACCAAATGTGAAAAAAAAATAATCCGTCAAAAACTGTAGCCTATATTGTGTTCACAAGCCTATTGTTGACGGACGCATCGCCAGACAGGTTGGTGACGCAACCCACCCCCATTGAAATGTGGGCGTATAAAATATATTAGGATACTATTATTTTATTGGTTTAACTGGTGTAATAGAACTGCTGGGTCCAACGCCTTGAAATCTTCGGTGAATCTTCCCCAGGCTCAGCCATACTGACCACAGGAACATCTCCATAAACTCTGCTAATGTTATAACACTAGCTCCTAGAAATAATCCCATCTGTCCTCCTACTGTACCTGTATAAATGAAAATCATTTATAATTACAATATACACAATAGAGGCTGACAACTATAACGCATGAAGATAAATAAGAATAAACGCTATACCAGGCAATAACGCGAGTAACTGGTCTGACCAAGTACGTCTTCTGTCGAAAGTGACTGCTGATAGTACGTCCACAGTATGTCTATTTCACAGCACGAAATCCATTAAGATTAACTATGGACACTGGTTCATACATTCAATGTCTCACATTGAAGTTAAGGATACTCTGATCACCTTATTTACTATGGTAACTGAGAATACGTTCTATAAGGAAAGAACAATGGGTCATCTCATTAAAAGAAATATGTCGTCCTTTACGATGATCCTGAAATCACACTTGTGTATTTAAACTAGTATTACCTAGGATTGACAAGGTACTGTATTCAGGAACATGCTGAACTTCTTCCAGTAGCAAGTCTTCATAGAATATTGTGATATCCAAAAAACCTGTACTAAAAACATAAAGATCAATATATGAAAGTACGGCAGATTTGACCATCATTTCATGGAGATCAATAGTGATATATACGCTTAACATTAAAAAGTCGGAGTAGGCTTACGGAATACTATTTTATCACTGGATAAACGATAGTTATTTTGTATGTTTCCCTGACAGTATTAATTTTAAATATATAGCTTTGAATTAACGTATATTCCCTGAAAATCCATGGCTTCGTACCAAAGGGGGAATAACCCAGGAAGTTATGCATTCCATTAAGATAAACATAATTTCAGCCGAAAAAATTATAACAAGATTTCACAAAAGAAGGTTACAACTCTAGAGGTGATTATCGAAAATCATATTTCAGTGAGAGAGACGAGGTCCTCTGTTGTGTCATCACAAAGTTTCAATTACTCTCCAGCTGTTGCAATTATTATCTTTTATTGTTTTTGGAAATAGTTTCAGCTATAGTTTATCCTATACGTGTACCTTGCGACTTGTCTGCCGGCAATAATGTTGTTCTTAATCAGCTCTTCCATGGCGTTTGTTGAAGGAAACATCCCCATTGATATAAGAGTCTTGTATTTATTAAACGTACAGACCCTAGGACAATCACACACATCATAATGATTATTACTGTAGTACAGACCTGAAATAATATGTACAACTTCAGGGTGACATGCATTTATGAGTACACAGCAGTATACCAATATAAATTCTCAAAAGAACATGACAATTTGTTAGGACATAGAAATATATCGGTGAAAAGTCATTTCTATTCGCACCTTTCATACGATCTGACCAGTTCCTCCACTGTCTGAAATGTTATTGCGGGGCATGAAACCATAACGCCACTCATTCAGTCCACTGGCGTGGTTTCGATTCCCCGCTTGTGCGTGACAAGGTGTACCGTCGCCTGTCCAACCTCGTGGGTTTTCTCCAGGTCCTCTGAAATGTGGTGGATGTGGACAGAAGTTGCGGTAGTATTGTATTCAGTTGACGAGGCGTTAAGTTTGCTTTATAGAATTAAATATTCACCTAATGTTGGTCTGTAGCAATTCACCAGTTCCTGTAGTGTGCAGTATGGGTGTGGTAGACTGTTTGGTTCTGTTATTGATTTACAACTGCAATTTTTTACAGTTATCTCCCCTAAACATTCCCTGATACACGTTTCTCTGTTGTAGACTGAATAATATTTCATCTTAGATAGCAAGGATGGATCATCATTTGCCATACACGAACTATCACCGTATGCCTTGAAGGGAGGGGGTAAAAAATTGTACTGAAATAAAACAGAGCCGCATTTATCATAGGTAGGTCGGCGTTCAGTCACTGGTGTTCCTTCACAGAAGTTAAATCGTGGCTAGCTAGTGCTAATAGAAGCTACGTAGCTAGGATCAAAGTAAAAAAAGCTAGGAGACCGCAATGCCGTACATTTAGATCATCATAATAATGATTAACAAAACCAGAAATCGTTCATGTGATATTGTGTATATCGTAACCATGTATGATACAATGAGAAACCCGCCTAATATTTAAATACCTATCAGATACATAATATTGTAGCTGTGAGCAAGTCTTTGTCACCCAAATTAACGAAAGTCGATACCCGTTGCCTTTGGTTTACGTTCAAACGGGCGATCTTGTTTTTGCAGTTAATAATGGACACTTAAAAATAGCTTACAAATAGCTTGCGTGAGATAGGCTAAGGGACCGTTTCCAGCAGTGCCTAACAGACTTCATCTGACCGTAAGATCACGACACTAGATACCTTTAAGAATTTGAAATTGTGCACAGGTCTTTTGGTTTCAAAATCGGATATAAACACGCCTCGGCTTTTGGGATAAATATTCCTTCTCTATTAAGAGCATTTTGATTTTCGTAAATGAAACGTGACATTTAATGAAACTCTATCTCAACAGACTGAAACTGAAATTGAGTTACATAGCTTACCGACTCTTTGCGTAGTCCTATAAGTGTAGAGGCACCTGGGGATGCTATAATTCCATTATTAGAAACGTCAGGTAATTGATGCTGGTCGTGAACATTTATCTGTAATTAAAGTATCAATAATGAACTTTTAAAGGTCCCATTTAATCGATGTTAAAACAACAGTAGGAGGAATGAGGAGATTAAATTTTTACATTTACTAGATATTGCAAACACTGAACGTAATACATCTTGAGAGATAATCTAACAAAAACCTCGATATTACAATCTTGAGCGATAATCTAACAAAAACCTCGATGTTAAAGGTAAAGAAAGTCAAAATCGAGAAAATAGTAATTTTAAACCGTTTTTCCCAACCTAGTGATATAAGTAGTGATTTCGTCAATGGGGCATGAATAGCGGAAATAAGTTTGCTTATCGATGTGTCTAGCAAAGAGTGCATTTTCAAGATTCTAGAATAAATTAAAATATTTTGTGATTACCTTCAGACCAGCAGCTGTGTTATCGCTTACTAAATATCCCTTCTGGTTGATGGACGCAATAAATGATAACGCACCCTTTGTTCCAGTTGAATCCACAGAGAGTTTATCTGAAGCGTTGTGATTAAATACGAAACAACGGCCTAGATCGGTAAAAACGGGTTTCCAAAACTTATCACATCTGATCACTTGATTTTTCCATAAACATACGCTGAACATATCACCCAAATCTGTTTCTGATTCATTGAATAATTTGTCAACGGTTGTTATTTGTGCGGCTTTGTAATTTTTGTCGCTTTCGTTCAGGTTCAAATTTTTGAGAAAACTATTTTTCAAAAAAAAATTAAAGATACCTTTTGAATTGTTTATTTTTGTCGTGTCTACGTAGCTGAGATCGCATAGTGTGATGGCGGGAAAATCGAGTTGAGATCTTGGTTCAATTTTAACAACTGTTTGAAAGGGATGCGTGTTATAGTTTTTAAACAAAGAGTATAAGTTGGCCGATAAGCCACATGTCATTCCCAGCACACACAGCAGCCATATCAGCCTGGAAAAAAAGTACGCCAAATTAACAATTTCTCGCTGCGGTTTGTGTAAATGCTCGTTTATCGCATATGAGAGAGAGAGAGAGTGTGGAAGAAGCAGAGAGAGAGGGAGAGGCGTGTGTGTGTGTGGGTGGGTGTTTGTGGGAGGATAAGCGTAACGTTCACTCGACACCTATTCTTTGTTTTGGATGAACATACAATAATACACGTTGGTATCAGATGCAGCCGACTCGTTGTTACCCCAATATCCTAGGTGACAGATATATAGGCCTACGATGCACAGCGCACATTTTTAAACATTCGGACATCTTGCTCCATTAGTGAAAATTTCCTTAGACCACGCACACCACGAAGTGTGCTATGAGGGGAATCACTATAAACTTTCTCGGCAACGAGACCTTCAGGTTAGCGAGCCAACGTCTTACTCTCGTGAAGGAGGGCAATATCTAAAAACTAAGGTCCACTCCAGATCGGGAGATGTAAATAGGGTTAGGGCACGTGCTTGTTCACGAGATTGTGTGTTAGGGTAAGGGTTAGGACTGGATCTAGGGTTACATCTCGTGGCCTTTGACCAAATCTGCAGGAGGGAAAGCAATTAAACAGAATAAATATTCCTCAAAATGAGCTACTTTTAATATTCATAGATAATACAGACATCTATTACAACATTTTGTGTCTATTTAATTAAACCAACTCCTATAAATATTGTTGTTGTTTATTATCATCTTTTACTGTATATTTTATATAATATACTTACCTTGTAAATAAACTTCTTGTAGGAGAAATTACATTCCTGCACCCATGGGCTGTTGTCTCAGCAAACAATGTTTTAAATGAACTCTTAGAAGGCTCCTCGGGTTGCATTGTCATACGATCTGAAGCCGGTCCTTGGACTCATCGATGTAGTGAACGTCCGGTAGGCTTCCGCCAAGAACTTTATTCTCCGGGTTTATACTCAGTAAGTAAATATTTTCTTGATGGTCGAACTATTCTATGAGTATAAATATGTAAACGCCTAATAATTCAACGCTGTCCTTTGTACGTGATCTAAAATGTTCCTTTTATTCTATGAGTATACACACGCTAATTATTTGTTTGCTTTTGTGTCCTCTTAAGCTGTTCGCAAAAATCATTTCCTTAAGGTCGATCTATTCTTTGAGTATCAATAGTTAAAACTCCCGATAAGAAAAACGAAATCGTTTCTAAATTCTTTTCCACCAGCGCAAACAAATCACTGGCGACTAAAATCATTATCTATAACACAAATACTTTTGCAAAAAATAGAAAAACATATTGTAAAAGTCCATTAGCAAATTGTTGACACTTATCGTTATTGGTGGCTTTTATCTACACTAATTGACGGTCTAATGGCAAATATTCCTTTCTGTATCTGTATACGTTTTACAAAGTTATTTGCCTACACCAAATGGGTAATTGCAATTTGCATGACAACAATACCATTGGGAGATGCTACTTGTAGGCCGGTTGGAGAGGTTCCCGAACCGCCCCGATAGGCATACAATTAGCACCTCCCAATATCATTTCATAGGCCTGCGCTTACATTATAAAGAAAATCAACCAATTAAGTAATTAACCATTAGATAATTTGCATAACTTAAACAATACTTCAAATGATGCAAACTTAAAATATCGTTCCGTCTGTTGATACTTTTTCGGGTTTATTATGGATGCTACCCATATCTACCAACATACCACACAAAGAACAAGTACCAGTTTATCGTAGTTGTGGGGCGGGGGCTGTGGTGTTGCCGGCTATAATTATATGACCAATTTCACATCTACCCCCTGTATATTAACATCACAATTTGCTATTTTCGCGTCAATTACAATAATTAACAAATTAAAGTGTAGTCTCCGTATGACAAACCAGCTAAGTATGTAGTGAAATTGTATATTTCTATACTTACCGTTGACAGTTAATAGGAATAAAGAAGTGAAATAAATATTGTCCCATATCCTGTTCCCTGTCAAAGTCTCACGATATCAAATATATCTTTGCTTGCGAAAGAGTGCTTATGGGCGTGGATGGGTGCGGTGGCATTGCCATTGGCATTTGTTTAAGGATATAACATACATCTCCCATTGTTGGTTTTCATTGGTTAGCACACTATGCTCGCTAGCCAAGAAGACAACGAAAGATTCAAGAGTATTTATGTATTTGGAGGACATTATAAATTGGTAAACTGTGGCGATCACAAGAAACATACAATTTCTGCATAAACCTCAAAGTCTCTCAAAATGCCCAAACTATCACTTGGCCGCCATTTTGAAAACTTTTGTTTCTTTTACACTTTTTATCGAACGAAGAGTTCATCAATTATAGGCTACTTTTTAATCTTAGTCTATATGCGAATCTCATGTACTAATTAGTGATTAAACATTATTGATAATTTAAATGGTGTTAATAATAAAATAATAAAATTTTGGCATATATTAAATGTGTTTGTGCATGAAATACAAAATCCCGTTTGTCCATTAATATTGTTTTTATTAAAAAAAAAATCACCCAACAATTAAATGCACTCAAAACGTGATAATGGAATGTGCAACTGCTATCCGTCTTTGTATATCGATATTACTCTGAAGGGGGTCACCGCGTATATCCTTTCGTTGGGCAATTAAATAGGCAAATAAATGTCCTTTAAAACACGGTCATTACCATTAACAGAATAACACGTTACTGTTTAATTATCAACATATCTATAATTACATAAATGCATCGGAACCCATTTTTTGTTACCGCTGTAAGCTTATATCAGTGTATAAATATTTAATACAACCTATATCGTTGATCTAAAACAGAATGGACATTACTTAACACGGTAATGGGAAGCACTTTAAACAATATTCAAATAAACCTTACATCTCTGTAATGCAAAACAAAAAATCATTATATTATAGGTAACGCCAATAACCGCCTACATATAACCTCATAAAGCCAAATTGGTTGGAACTGTTATCGGAGAAAGTCGATTGTGATGGAGAGTAGAGCAGAACTTATACTATATAGCTTGCAGTGCTGGCTCTGCTTCGTGCATGTCACGTGACGTAATGTACAAGTTACGACTGCCCTTTCACATATACTATTCAAAAAAAGTAGGGGATATTTGATTTTTAAGTGTTATTAAAGTCACCTAATAAAACTGACGAAGAAACAAATGACAAAATGAAATGAAGTTCACATTCATCGATTTATTCCAAATGATCGTTAGACTAAGTAAGGCACAGACTGACCATTATAAGGGTAAAATGATACCCGGGGTCAAACAGCAAAGTTACCACAGCATCACAACCAAGTCAGTAACGGGTAAATCCTCCTCTGTTTGCCAAACAAGCATTGATCCGACGTGGCATACTCCTAATGAGACGTCTATGGTCATTTTGGTCCAGATTGTCCCATTCCTGTTGCAACGCAGCAGCAAGTTCTTGGACATTGGCAGGACGTTGTTGACGTTGACGTAACCTCTGTCCAAGCATGTCCCAGACATGCTCGATGGGGGAGAGGTCGGGACTCAGTGCTGGCCAAGGTAATGTGGTGATGTTCTGTTGTTGGAGGTAACCTGTAACGATCCTGGCCCTGTGACATCTTGCGTTGTCATCCTGGAAGATGAAACGGCGGCCATGACGTCGTGCAAACGGCACAACATGGACTGCCAAGATGTTGTCCCGGTAGTACTGGCCTGTAACACGCTCTGCAACAACATGTAAAGCCGTTCTTCCAGCAACAGTGATGCCTCCCCACACCATAACAGAACCACCCCCAAATCGATCATGTCTGATGACGTTAACATCTTGGAAGCGCTCGTTTCGTCGACGCCACACCCTCCTACGTCTGTCCAAAAAATCAACAGTGAACCTTGACTCATCTGAAAACATCACATTGCTCCAGCGTCGATTATCCCAGTGTTGACGATCCCTACACCAACGACGTCTTGCCTGAATGTGATGATCTCTCAAACAAGGGATCACGCGAGGACGTCAGGCGCGAAGGTGACCCCTATGCAGTCGATTCCGAATCGTCTGGCCACTCACTCTCACACCAGTGTCTGTTTGAAGACGAGCGCTGATCTGATTTGCTGTGATGACACGATTTCTCAAGGCCAAGGTACGGATAAATCGATCCTGGGCTTGAGTTGTCGCCCTTGGTCGACCTGAGCGTGGTCTGCCCATTTTTGTTACTGCTGTAAACTTATATCAGTGTTTAAAGATGGGTTCCCGCGTACAAACTGTGTGATTTAATGGTATATATGGACTAAAAACATATTCAAACTAATTATTTTGTCATAACTTTGCTTCAAATCCTTCTCAAACATTGTAACTGCGAAGGGATGTCCTGCTATAAAAATTCGATCAAACCAGGTCATGTTTACGTCACGTGACTTACCTCGCTAGGAAGTCAGAGGAGAATTCATTGCATACATAAGACGATGTTGTCTTTAATCGCTTACTATTTATTACAAATATCGAATCCTAATTAAATTCTCGGAATATCCACTACCCGCGTTATTTTCCGTCATTTTTATCTCAGAAAGTATTGTACGTCTAACTCTCCATAAAGTTTATCAACTTGTACATCACGATGTGACCTTTGACATCACGCTTGCAGAAGTTCCTAATCGTCGGGCTGTATATGCTCCTGTATATTTTGTCCTGTATACGCTCCATGAGTGTTTTTCGGGGAATCCAGTATTTTTCTAGTCAGATTGGATATCTCTACTTTCCATATATACCACAATTACCAAGACATTTATTGGAAATAACCACCCGATAAATACCTTTCTGGGAACCAATCTTTTAAATATTTAATACAACTTATTTTGTTGATCTAAAACAGAATGGGGATTACTTAACAAGGTGATGGGAAGCACCGATACTACCGATACTACTTCTGCAACCCTACAGTTCCTAATCAGCGTTCATGTAAACGGCGGTTAAAATATTACAACTAAAGTTCTTTATTCATCATATTCTTTATTTAAAAACGTCCATTGAATTATCAATGAATTTCCATTAGAAGGTATTTATTTTAGTCACCCTGTTGATTACAGGCCAATTAAACGTCGTTCGTTCATTGCGCCGTATGCTTCCACCGCGGTTGATATCGCATACAAATATTTCCTGAGAAACTTGCTAGAAGTACCAATGCTCGGCCCTTTTAGATTACAGATCAACAGAAAACTTGGGATCTGGGATTTAGAATCACACAATATTTAATGTTGATAATGTATGCGGTCCATTGCGATATGAACTCTGGAGTATCTCGTCTTGACTATACAGGAATTGATACATTATTGTCTCGTCGCGCTGTGGGGAAATATGTTTTTCATTCAGAAGGTTTTTGATCTTAGCATAAATTGAACTGTGAAATGTGAAATAATAATATAGTTTATTATTTCACAGCATCGGCTTTCGCGTTTGTCTCATGGATTTTCAGTCGTTGGCGAATCTTCCCGAAGCTCCTTCTAACGGACCATAGTAAAATCTCTATAAACTCTGCTATAGTTATAATACTAGCTCCTAGAAATAACCCCATCTGACCTCCTACTGTACCTGTATATAAAATAGATAAATGAAACAAGGGCGAATTCTGAAATATATATTTAACATTCTACCAATTAATAAAACATTTCATCTAGTGAAATATTTTCCATCATTAAAGCGTACACAAACCCGGCAAGTTTGGATTTGTGGTATGTACTGCAAACATTGATCAAGAGAAAACTTTTGTAACAGTTGAGCAAAGAATCATAAGTTATGGGCAACAACTCTTGAAATGCCCTTTGGATAACCACAAAATCGACAGTGATCATCTTATTTATAAACTTTAGTCAATAACTCAAGAAGTATCGTTCTTGAATAATCTCAAAATCGATATGAGTCATCTTTAGCTCGCTACCAATGATAACATGATCTACTGAATGTTGGATGAAAGCAATTTCATATCCTACTGGGACAACAGAGCTAGAAATTGTTAACATCGACTGAATCCGCCTTTTCTCCAATATTAACTATTCCTAAAATGGCCTTTATCAAAACCAGTTTAGAGAATGATAATATAGGTTTAGTAAACACATCAATCGTTGGATCAACACTGACCATTCCTTATAATCTGATGATAATCAGTTAAAAACTTAACTCTGTAAAGTTAGTAGATACCAAAGTGCACTGGCCGATAAACTGACGAATGGAAACAGTCGACGACAACCCATGACCACAGATTACCTGTGTGTGTGTTCCAGAACAAAATAGCAACAGCAAACAACCCTCTCAATTCACCCTCTCAATTCAAACACAATATCTTTGAGCAAAAGATTTATATCTATATCCGATATCTTTTTGATTTTGTAAATTAAACATATATTACCAATAACGGAAGTATAACTGTATTGGCCGACATGATGAATCTCTTCCAGAAGAAAATTTTCATAGAATATGGTTATATCCAAAACCCCGGTTCTAAAAAAATACATGATAATGAAATGACACTAAATAAAACCAAATAACAAATACCCGTGTGTAAGGTTACTTGGTCACAAAAAAGGTTGGGAAGTGAGAAAGACAATTTTAGGGTCGGCGGTTTGGGCACCAAGAATAGTGCTGACCGAATAACCGTAAACACAGGTAATCGTTGTTTTGGCCTAACGTTAAGACACGATTTCTAAGACTACAATGTAATTGCACTTTTGTCGTAGTATATCTCATATTGCCACTGAAACACCCTTAACACAACTCGTCACTATTAAGTTAAATAGCAGGGTCTAGCCGTTTTGTTTGGTGAGGGGGGTGGTGTCTTTTTTTTTTGGGGGGGGGGGGGCGTCTGCGCAGTGTGTATAATGTGTACGTCTGGAGAAATGCCCGATATATTTCAGTGAATAAAACGGATTAATCTTGTGTGTAGATCTCGTAAAACGCGTTCCCAGCAACGGGCTAATGTTCTGCAATACGAACAGGGCAGGACGTTTTACAGACAGAGAGAGAGAGGATTGGGTTTTTTACATCTACTCGAGTCAAACTAGGTCATTTCGGGACTAACACATGGTTCAATTTTATTTCAATAATTCGCTTACGCGTAGGAGAAACCCCACCCGGTTGGACAGGCGACCCTACTCCTTGTCACGTTGCCAGTTGACTCAATGACAGACCTTATGATACAGCGCACAGTGCTAACCATTCGGCCATCCAAACCCCCGTTTTACACATATCTTAATTTGGACAATAAATATCTCATTAACCCACACATAATTGTGTAAGTGTTATATTAACAAACTTTAATTGCGAACGTTTACAGTATTTTGAATGAGAGCTTGTTTTGACAGAGTTGACTATAGCTTAGAAATCTGATACCTTGCATCCCTCTGTTCATCAATGACGTTATTAACAGTTAGGACTCGTGTTGCAGGTACTGACGGAAACATAGCCATTGATGTACGTGTATGATATAAATTAAAGAAACACAGCCTTGGACAATCACATAAAACTTCTGCATGATCGTTACCGTAATATGTATCTGTAATACAAATTAAATGAAATGAAATGGGTTTTAACTTCCTACGAATGGTCGAATGACGACAGGCATACGTCACAGTGTACTTTACGTTGTCATTTGCTAAACCCCCCCTTTCCATCGCTAAGGATAAGCGGGGACGACGCCGGAAAATCCCGAAGAACGTTCTCGGTCAACACAGGGATCGAACACGGAACACAATGATAGCAAGCCAACATCTTACTCACTAAGCCACCGCAGATCTCGTATCTTTAATACAAGAACACCGTATATCATGACATGATTAAGGCATGCTATTTCAGTATTTTTCCTTGCCGGGCACTCCGTCATGGGTCACTGTCAAATTACACAGAGGTGACGTACAAATGCAGATGAACTTGATCAGCCAACTCCGTGCTCGAACCCGTGACCTCCTGGTTATTGAGCTCGCGCCACGCTATATACACATTGTTTAAGGATATGTTCGTGGGGTCCCGAAATACCCCTTGTATACGCACAAGGGATATCTTGTATACTATTATTTGGAAGTTGCTACAATTTGTTTTCTATAATTAGTAAATGGTATAGACTAGAACTACATGTATATCCATTTTTATTTTCATATCCCCAGAACTACTGGAAATAGGATTTTGTTGCTCAAAGTTCCAGTGATAAGAGACTAAAGTTACTATCGTAATTAAACTATTTAACTGCACACATTTTAGCGGCACACGGAAAATTGTATTACGAAAATCATATATAAATATTAACATAAATAGTTATGACATTTGGAATTCGGTGGAGAGTAATAGGAAATGCCGGTGTCCCTGGCGTTCCACACATGACTTTAGATAATACAACTGTGGGTTAGCCTATCATATATCAGGGTATTGTGTAGACCAGAAATTAAACTTCATTTTCTTTCTAGGTGCATGGACGGCTGGCTGAAGATGTCCCTGGGGCCCTTGCATTAACAGTGAAAAGTGGACAATTTGTACATGTTATAAAATTCAAAAAATAAATGCCATATATTCCCACTATGGTCCATATATTTATGGTACACTTTTTTTAGAACTAGTTTAAGGGTCCTTTTAATATTTTTGTCCCTGTCAGCAGCCCAATCACCACCCTGTCCCCGCTTGATAGGGCGACTACATCAAAAATGTTAAGTTAGATTAGATAAGTAATTCATATGTCAATAATTTTACAGGCTAATTCAGCGTTCTGTTCCTTGGTCTTTAAAGTTATGCGATCACGCTACCCTTGCCAAATGGAATAATCATAACCAACTGCGATTTCGATTTAATTCATACCTAACTAATAAACAATTCAAAAGGTGTACCCCAAAAACCTTTATTTCCGGTTGTTTAAGGGATATGGTTATATAGTCTATTGGTCAGGTTTTGAATAAATTGATAAATTGATAAAACTAATAAATACCTAATAACGGTCGGTAACAATCTACCAATTGTTGTAAGGTACAGTATGGGTAGGGTAAAAAATCTGAAATAAAAAGTTCTCTTTTAGCGTACATTACTACACAATAATCCTGCATATGCAGTGTAAGATCTGAAATGTGCAATGATTAATCTGAAATGTGTTAACGTGTATACCGTGTCACTGAAATATTTGCGTGTTAAAAAAAAATCATATATTCCCGACGGTCTTGTACAATTAGAAGATGTACACATCGAAAATAATCATTGATCATGATGGTCCGTTTCTGTTGTAATTATAACATACTTTCTATCAGTAATAAATGATATGAAATGAAATGGGGTTGAACGCCTTACTGTTCTACTCCTAAACTGGGATAATGAAGACGGGCATACGCCATACAGTGTGCTATGAGGGAAATTTTGCCCGGGCAGCGGCACTATCGCCTACTCTTATATCGAATTCCAACTGCCAATGGATCTTTTACGTGCATTTCAATGTATACACGGGACCTCGGTTTTTCGTATCATCCGAAGGACTAGACAGCTGTCCTTTTCAGGCCCTCCGTCCTGCATCACTGACAAGATAAACTTTCTCGGCCAATGCAGGGATCGAACACCCGACCTCCAGGCTAGCGAGCCAGCGTCTTACCCACTTAGCCACGTGATCCCCTTCTATCAGTAATAAACATATGGTTGTGCATAGTTGGTTAGAATAATCGTGGAAGCCAATTTCCAGGGTACAAAAATTGGGAAGTGATTATTTGTCTTATACTATAACCTGTCTTTTTTACATCATGTATATACATAATAATTCTGAGTTATAATATTATTGAATGAAATTTTCGCTTGGGTATGTTCCTTTACTTAAAACAATAATCCATGATTGCTAACGGTGGGGGGTATAAACGTAGCGTTAAATACTGTTCTTCATATAGGCCTCAGTACCATTCTGAGCATGGTAATTATTACTGATGTTTTGAATTTTGAATTGGTGTTGATGTACAGATTATACAAAGTTACATTACAACTATTAGAGATGACAAAGAAAGGGGGTCAATCTTCTATCTTAACTATTATTATCTTCGTCACCAAAACTTAAAACTCACCTGGTTCAGTGACTGATTTACAACTGCAATTTTTTACGGTTAACTCCCCTAAACATTCCCTGATACACGTTTCTCTGTTGTAGACTGAAGAATATTTCATCTTAGATAGCAAGGATGGGTCATCATTAACTATACATGAACTATCACCGTATGCCTTGAAGGGAGCGGGTAAAAACTTGTACTAAAAGTATAATTTGAACTACAAGTAACACAATATGTGTTATCTCTTATCTCATATGATTTAATTAATTGCATTCAATTTTGTTCCTTTTATAAAAATAAATTTTATATTACAGTAGGTCATGTACTATTCCTTATATTCCTGTGATTATTATACAGTGTTATATTAACTAATAATAAACACGATCACGCTGATATGGCCACAGATCACTAAAGATTTGCCCATTGACTATAATGTTAATTCTCGACTCTTAGACCGGCTCTAACTTTTTCCCAAATTTTCGTTGGGTAGAACGCTTTCTACCACAGATGGAACAACATGTGGCAACCTCTTGCCCAAAAGCACGTATGGGGTTCACCATGGAAAACTTGAGATACACAAGCTGGAAGTAGAGACAAGAAAACATGCAATTTTGGACCCTACATTTCAACCTAACCAACCTCTCAACTCTTGTATCCTTCCGCCTCAAAATCATGAATATTCACCAAAACCTGGTAGAAAATGTATTTTCAAACACTTTTCTTCGATTCTACACCAAAAAGTCAACAAAAATCGCCATGCAAAAGGGGGGAAAAGGGAAAGGGAGAGAAAGACTAAAAATAACTTTCGCCCTACATTCGTGGTGACGGCGTAGAAATATTTGGTGAGCTGTGTCCATATGGGAGCACCGTGGAATACCATATTCCGTTACATTTTGGAGCCGCTTGTCTACTTCACATTCAATGTGCATTATCACGGTGTCCAAATCTTAAAACAAACTCTCGTAGAGCATGGCAGGGGTTGTGGGTGGAGTAATGCTACCTACCGATGTTTTACGAATGCCTATTGATGTAGAAGCTCCTGGTGACGCCAATATCCCATAATTAGCAGTCTGGGGTGGTTCGTCTGGATCGTGAATGCTAACCTATCAATAAGAAAATGAAATTCTATAATTTGATACAGAACATCAAATTGGAATATTTTAGCTACCGTGACCCACCTGATCGTTTTAGTATAGGTCTGGTTATATAAAGTAAAATGAACAATCAAGGGTTTTTATGACGTGTTTTGGGGTTCTTAGAAAATATTTTTGATTTGTAACATCTGTTCGGGAAAAAGTATTCCTCATAGCATACAGAATAGCTATGGCCGACCGGGTTTTTATTATAAATGATTTTTCCCCTTTTTTTTTCTCTTGTTTTACTTGCCACTTTTTCATATTTGGGTCCAAACTGTCTGTTTCATTGGATTGGATCTGTCTTTCTTGATTTTTTATACATTGATAGATAAAGGGATTTAACAGATTCCAAGTAAACTAAAATCAGCAAATATTACCACCTCTGCTAAATCTTTCGAAAATGTATTTAATCGACACATCACTAATCAAAATAACACACTACATCAATCGAATTAAATGTTTTCTGCTGTTCCGTCCGATTTAAATACAGCTCTTAATCTCGATGGCCTGAACCATACATACAAGTGTACCTGACGTAGACTATTTATATCTAAGTTTTGTTTTGTTTTTATCGACCGCTCGACTTAACAAATCATTGACTAATCCAAAACATTAAAGCAGAATACGGTTTCAGATCCCACTTGGAACGAAATGAAACGAAACGAAATAGGATCTGTGTTTTAATCAAAGAAGCCTGGTTTCTTTTATATTGGCGTATTAATAGAGAAAGTCATTCAACCCTTGATATATCTTTAGTGTTTGTGGAGAACAAAAGACCGAGGGACATTTTATTGCTAGGGGCTATTCTTTTAAATTAAGAATTAGAATTCATACCTTTAAACCTGCCGCTGGTGAATCACTTACTAGATACCCGGCCTGGTTGATTGAAGCAATAAATGATAGACCTCCTTTTGTTCCAGTAGAATCAGCAGATAATCTGTCTGTTGCATTATGATTAAATACGAAACAACGGCCCAGATCAGTAAAGACTGGTTTCCAAAAATCTACACAGGGGATAACTCGATTTTTCCATAAGCAAACTTTGAATAAATCATCAGTGGTTGTATTTACAGTTTTAAATAGTTTGTCAATGGTTGTTGCCCGTGCTAGATCAAAATCGTCGTGGGTATTGTGGACTTTCACAATGTTAAGAAAGCTGCTGTGCATCAAAAAGAAATGAAACATGCCTTTTGATTTCTCCAATTTTGTTATATCTGCGTAGTTCAAATCACACACGGTAATGGTGGGAAAATCCAGTTGCGTTTTAGGTTCAATTTTAACAACTGTGTTAAAAGGATAGGCTTTATAGTTCCTTAACAAACTAGCTAAAGTTAGACTCATACAAACAGTCATTCCAATCACACACAGTAACCATACAAATCTGAAGAAGTTAAAAGAGAAAGAAAACACATGTTTACCGTCGTTCACTTGCTGTTTTACGAAGATGGTTAAATCCAAACTGGTCCTCCTTCGTAACAAATGGAGAGACGGCTAAGATCAATAATTTAAACTCTTATATATCTAACAACCAACAACATTTGTGTACATTGTATTTCTTATATTCAATATGACATTTGTGTATTTCTTATTTTTAATATGACATTTAATTTGTGTATTTCTTATTTTCAGTTTTTCTAATTCATGCGAGCTCTCTACATCATATGTAAAATAGCAAATATTTGTTAAAAATATAAATTAAGTTCATGAAGCCTAATTTTGATACATTGTGGAAGTTAAATTGTTTAGCATTTCCAAGGATTCTTCAGAATAACTGTCGTATATGAAGCTTTCAGTTTACCTGATAAATCGACTTCTGGATGGTGAAATCACATTTTTACATCCATGAGCAGATGTTTCTGACAGCAGTGTTCTAAATGAATTATCTGCAGGAGCATCCGTTTCTTTGATCATGCTGAAAAAATGAACCTCGACTCCAAACTATATCAACATTACTCGTAAACTGTTAACTGCATAGTGTTTGGTCATGCTGCAAAAATGAATCTCGACTCCGAACAATATTAACATCACGCGCAAACTGTTGTTAGTTAATTACATATATTATAGCCTCGGTAATATTCTAAATGATTCATAAATGATCAGGACTAGGTTAAAAACACTGTTTCTAAAACCAAATCAATTCGACCAGTAATTGAAGTCAGTAAAGTGTCGATACAGAGTGCGATATTAATTTAAATGCTGTTTTTCAGTAATTAATATAATATATCCGGATAAATTACAATATGCATTTCAGAAGTCGTGCAGCATCTTATTACGCCTCTCATCAACACCTTGTAAACAGTCCTGGGACAAGACTTTTGGAGGTGGTAATACTGTTCCAATGAGTGACCTACATTACCGGAAGCCTCCAGTCCTGAAACCCACTGCAGACTAATGACGGGTGTTTTCAAATTATTTCTATTTATTTTTGACATACTGGAAGTCTTTTATTGCATCACTTTGACATTACGATGTTTATAATGCCAGATTACGATATATACAGTCAAAAGTACTTTTATTAAAAATATTCATCGATCAATTCTAATGTAACTTGTGGTCATTTTAAGTTCATACAAATTGTTATTAAGTTTACACTTATAAAATCAGATGTGTTAAATGTAAGTTAGGAATCCACCTCGTGTCTTCGATATACCATTCTTGTGTACGAGATGGCAATTTGAATTCAAAGGCTAATCGACAGAAACCAGTTCCACAAGATATAATCCCTTCCAGCTCGTAGCAGGTGACGAGGTAGACTGTGTTTACTTTTTCTAGGATAACGTGTGTGATTAAACAGAAAGTGGGAAGCCAGCTATTCCATATGCCAGTAGGGTACAAAAAAAATAGACAAGAAAACCAGAACTTGGTACTGCTGTGTACATTTTAGCATTATAAACTTAACCTTAACTAAAATTATAAGAAAACCATACTCAAATTACAGTCAGATGTTTACTTATGTTTGTTTAATACCGAAATAAACGTGGATTATATGTCCTCGGGTCCATTAATCGATTTTTTTAATATTTATCGACAGATGTATCGTTACTGGTACATTACTCTAATACTCTATTATTTCGATATAATATTCGTCTAAAAGCTGCTTTGTGTCATTGTTTATTACAGTTCACGACAATTAACAGAAGTATCAATGGTTTTTTTTTTATTAATATCCGACATTATCTGATCCAAAATACGTGACGACCATAAAACATTAATACCACTCACACAAATAAAGTCACGGTATACAATTTGTAGATTTTACGTAAATTCATCCATTTACATCGTAATAAAAATTGACATTAAACAAACCAGAATATTGCACAAACGAATAAAAAGTAATGTTTATATACACAATCTAATGGTAGCATTCACGGATAGACTATTTACAAGTCAGACTGACGATACATCCTCCCGGATAATCTTTGCTCCCCTCCACCCCCCACCCCCCCTTGATTATTTTATCATTATTTGCCCATTCAACTTTGCACCCTCGTCGATGTTGCTGGTTGCACATTCACTGTATTAGGTTGTTTATAGATATTAAGGGACCAGCAGCACCGAATCTTCTTAAAACTCCTCCACACTGACAACAGTAAAATCTCAATAAATTCTGCTAAAGTTATAAAACTAGCTCCTAGAAATAAACCCATCTGACCTCCCAACGTACCTGTATATAAATATTAAAATGATTTTGTAAGTTCAAACCAAGTAGGACAGCTTAAAAATAGTTTCTTGTAAAACCATAAATATAGATAAAAATCACTCTGAAATTTCGAAATTCTTCAGGTAGTGTTTTGGGGATTTTGAATTAAGGAAAGATGTGTGATGTATAGTTGTATGGGGTGGGGACTACGTCAAAAACATTAATTTTATAGATATCCAATCAGGAAGGTGACCGACAAATTGACCTCCGGTTGTATCCAATTGTTGAAAATAAATATATTGTGATACTGTCTTTTTATAAGGGTTTTTTTTTTTTTAATGTCGCGTAAACTCATTTTTCGGACAAGATATAAATTTTCAAGGCGTAATCAACACTAAATTGTACTAAAATTGATTATTTAACATTTAATTTAGATAACAAACAAAAATGTCAACGGTAGGGAATATCCTGACTTGGATTCAATCAGATTAAAAAGCGGCCCATTATACGATGTCAACTAAATTATTAAATGCGTTTTCACAATTACAACCAACTGTTTTAATACTGATAAGGTTTATAAATGCAGTGTTACAATTTATCAGTTTTATGTCATTATACGAACCCATTATTGAATTCCAGGTGTATTCAGGAATATGGCTATTCTCCGTCAATACCATATCTTCATAGAATACAGTAACATCTAGAAACTCGGCTCTGTAATAAATGTAATAGCCAACCTTATAGTAACATCTATAAACTGAGCTCCGTAATGTAATATATAGCCAACCCTAAATGATGGAAAATGGCCAAAAGAAAGAACAAATGTAAGGCGTTAGCCTCGAAGATTTTCTTTCTATTTACATAATGGATAGTTTGAAGCTTTTATCTAACTTAAACCATAGTCACTCTTTATTGTTACAACCAAAAAATAATGGACAGTTACTTAAACCATCACCTCATGTCATGTGACTACCACTGACCGATATCAATACAATTATGTCTTCCAGTGGAGAGGATGTTTTTATTACCCAGTCAGAAATTGTTCTTAGTTCTAATACTTATGACAAGAATAATGACACAGACAATGACTTGAATGACACCTTGGATATGGGGGAGAATACAAATCCAAAGATTGACCTTCCAAATTTTACTATAGGATGTAATCTTTATTCTGATATATCAGATGTGGATACAAAACCCGAGTATAAAGTGGAATCTAAAGCCGATAATAATCCTAGTAGTTACAGATTTCCTAAGGCGTTGCATCAACCGAAGCTACAAAAGTAAGTTAGCAATGGATTATGTGCCCAAACCGCCAAGGTGAAAGTAACATTGTTTGTAAAATGGATTAACCAGAGAAATAACCTTGCCAAGAAGGTAAATATTTGAACCCAACAGAAGATTGGGTAACACATGGATTCAGACTGTGATGTTGGCTTTGCAACAAGAGTTAAAATTTATATAAACTTTCGACCAAAATGAAGGGCTTCGTATATACGAATCATTGTTTCAATATACTACAATAAGAAATTAAATTTAGCTAATGACGACGGGGCTCTGAAAAAAAATGAGTAAATGAGATTTAACGTTCTACTTTTCTGCTCCGACTCGGCCTATAAATGAAATGAGGTTTAACGTCCTACTTTTCTGCTCCGACTCAGCTAATGAGGACGGGACTCTGAAATACGAAAATAAGAGTATTAGCTATCTGGACATTCTACGGTGCCAGTCTCCGGTCAGACTTTTCATTACCTTGATGAGAGGTCAATTAGTTGTTTCATAATGTAGATTACTTACTGGGCGTCAGTGGCATTATTAACTATACTGGACTGGACTAAGACATCCATTGCGGGTTTCGAGGGAAACTTGGCTGTTGATATACGGGTTTCGTACTTATTAAAGGAACAAACCCTTGGACAATCACAAAAAACATCTGATCGATTGAAACCATAGTAATATTCTACAAAAAATAAAGTAATAAAGGAGCAGCACATATTTTCGGAGGATATCACTAATACACATGTGTTTAAAACCGCTGATTGTTACCTTTTTAAGGTCAATCTCTAAAAGAAATTTCAAAATGATTTCCAATAAAAAAAAAGAGTAAAATTTGAAATTTACCTTAGGTAGAGCAACTCACAACAGGGATGGGCCGAGAAGGGTCATGGGAATATGGTAGGTTCGGGGAACTCAAATACGTTAATGATAAGACGTGATTTCGGGACCCTTTTTTCTAGTGTGTAGTTTAAACTGGGTTCTGAATCTCCTTGAGATTAAAAACGAAAACCGTGCAATGTATCAGTTCCAAATCGACACAACTTGTTTTTAATTAGAAAACTCCGAATATATTTGGTCTAAAACGCGTTTACAAGGTTTCAGTAACGAGTGATATGCTTATTAACTTTGAAAGATTTAATTTTTATTATTAGCCAATTAATAATTCAGCAAATATCTCAAAAACTATGACCCGTAGATTAAAGTTTCTGCGACATGGGTAAAGACACCGTGTAAAAAGGTAGCATCACTTCCAATTAGCCGAACCATCTAAGCAATTTGAAAACAATATATCCTGCAGACCCTTTAAAAGAATTGTGAACAGTTGTTTGGGCATGAGTGACGACAATATATGCATAAACATACGTAAATACAATTTCATAATTATATCTTGTAGTTATCTAGCATTTATATTTATCAGGGGCGACAGGGGGATATATATCAACCAACAAGAAAAATGACCAAGACAAACATTATGTTAATACAGAATAAATGACCTGTTAACTGCGAAACCCATGTCACAATTACTAAATTGCATATTTAATACATAAAAACATATTAAATTTTGTAAGAACTGTTTTCTGTTTGGTCATTTGGACCAATCTCTCCATAACAAGTTCAACTACGTCAAGAATAATCCCTCGGTCACATTGTGATCATGAACGACGGATAACGTAGACCACAAGAAAAGGAAAACAAAGAGAAGAAAAGGAGAACACTTAACAGATGTTCGGGGTTAAAATATATTTAAAACAATAGTTTAATGCTTTTTATATTGATTTTGTATATCACAAATGGGAATAACATTAATTTACCTAACGTTATCCGGTAACAATTCATGAACTCGTTCAATGTGCAGTACGGGAATTCCAAAGTCTCTGAAAAATATTACATATTTAACAAGTTTTTCCGTGCATAATAGCGTTTAGTTTAGATCGACTATACTTCTTTATTTCCTTTAGAACAGCATACACACAGACTTAAATCGAAGGCGTGTTGCTTACGTTACTCTCACACTGTGAAGAATAACATTGCAAATATTAAAATTCGCTGAAAATGATAAGAATACCACGAATCGTACGAATAGTGCCGAATCGAAATTCGTTGTGATTCAGCAAAAAATTTAAAAAATTTGTGGGAGTGATTACGAAGCAGTGACGAATAGTGTACGAAAAAATTGCGATAATTCGTGGGTAATTGGGTAAAAAATTTGTCAAATGTCTTAATAGGGTTACGATAAAGGTACGAAATGAAAGAGTCATCTGCGAATTTTAAATATTCAGCCAAATTCTTTACGAATATACCGAATTCAATTACGAATACACTACGATCTCCACGAATAATGCCGACAAAGCTAGGAAAAGCTTTCGATATTCGGCATATTCTTGTGTACCTATACGCTATAAAAAAAAAGCCACCGATCGCTGCCGAACCCGTAATTCGTCGTAGTCCTGGTAGATGTTGTCACTTGGACTCGGGAAACGGTTATTTCGGTGCCGCTTATTTTTCCCTCCTATCACGCGGGCTACGAATGCAATGAAATGTCCCGAATCTAAACTTTTTCCGATTCGTAGATAATTCGTACATAAATCGTAGACGGCTCTTGACGTTCTTACACATTCGTATTGTCCGTAGCAGTTGGTAGCTCGATTCGTAGATAAATCGTACATAATTCGTAGACGGCTCTTGACGTTCTTACACATTCGTATTGTCCGTAGCAGTTGGTAGCTCGGTCACGAAAGTTTTTGATGAACTACGAAGTGCTACGTATTTAATTCGTAAACATGTTGTCCGTAAGAGCTTCCTATTCGATTCTGTGAACGTCTACGATTTATCACTTAATGCTACTCTCACACAGTGGCAAATATAGTGGCGAATGGGCTAACGAACGCAATTCGCCACTCATTACCAGTGATCAAAAGTTGGTCGCCAGGTGTTCCTGGGCATTTGCGGTCATTCATGGAGTGTTACGAATATTAGGAACATGCATAATATACTCTTGGCTTATTGGCAATATTTTCGTAAGCAATCTCTAGTCATTTGTTCTGATCATTAGACATTTATAAAGATTTGCAAAGATTCGTGGGAAATTTGTAAGGATCGATAAACATTTGTAAAGGCCCGGTCCCATTGGCCGATGGACACAAAACATATGCAAAAAGGACACAGCGGTGAGCAAACTTTCGGGGGTGGCTCCATCCGTTTTCATCCGCTCCAGAAATGGACAAAATTGACGAAAATTTGCGGAAAAGAACGAACGTGGGAAGTATATAGCGGGGATGTTAAATGGATGTTCATCGGAAGCCTAGCGGATGAAAGTAGATGGAAGTGGATGACAGCTCCGAAGGGGTTATCGGGAATAATTTCGAAGCGGACGCATAGCGGAAAGAGCGGAAGCATAGCGGGTGAAGCGGTTGCATCACGTACTCCTTACGGAAACAAAGGGGATTTACGAGATGCATACGCTTACATCCTTTCTATTTCCGTGCTACTAACGACGTATAGACGTTCCATGTACCTTATCTTTCCTCCCTCTTTTCGTTTTCAGCTGGAGCGGATGTGAGTTGCGAGGATGCCCAGAGGATGCAGAGAGGATACAGTGGACTTTTAACGGATGATAAGGGACATGGAACGTTTGGTGCTCGTATATGTCGCGCATTTACATCGTACACGACAGAAAGTTCATCCGTTATAAAAGTTTTGTGCAGCTCAAAACTTTTTGCGCTGATGAAATCAAAGTGAACGGATGCTCGATGGATAGAGCGTATGAAACACGTATGCAATGAGTACACAACGGATGCATGGCGTTTTCAAACGGAGGGCACGTTTTTTCCCCCGTTTTACATCCTCTTTGCATCCGTAAGTGCAGTGGGACCGGGCCTTAAGCATTGATAAACATTTGTGAGGTCTCGCTTTTTTCAGTATTTGTCAAGAATTGCAAAACATTAAGAAAATCGCGAGTAATCGTAAACAAAACCTTGCTTTTATTTGCACAGGGACTTCGCTGCGCCGGTAGGGTGCATGTTCCTTATCCGTGTGGTAAAGTCAGGCCAGTTCTGCTCACCTCGTCCCTACTAGAACCCGAACGCACTCTCACTACGCTGACAAAGATCTCGCCACGCCTGTGCCGCTCCTCGTCACGATCTGGCTGATTTGTGATGGTGTATGTGTGAACGACGTATTGAGTAGTCTTCATGGGTCTTAAGCTGTCCTACTTGATTATAGTACTACCGGTTGTCCAACAGTATAAGCCCCTGTCCGACAATTTCTATTTTGTTCGAATGTACAACTTACCTGGTTCAGTGACTGATTTACAACTGCAGTTTTTTACGGTTAACTCCCCTAGACATTCCCTGATACATTTTTCTCTGTTGTAAACAGACGAATATCTCATCTTAGATATCAAAGACGGGTCATCATTAGCTATGCAATAAGCAAAACCGAAAGCCTTGTAAGGTGCGGGTAAAAACTTGTACTGAAACAAAAGATATCGTCAGCCAGTGAAATCCTTTTCGACATCGATGGCACACGTTATTTTGATTTGGTCGAAACTGTTAGCTGTGAGGTTAATAATGACCTGTTATACAACACTGGGAAAATTTTATTTAGTAAAGAAGATTTCCTAATGTAAATACAGTATCCAGCTTGTTTAAAGGAGCTAAGTCTCTAACTCAATATCATCCAAAATCTTCAACATTGAAAACACAAATTATTTGTCAATTTAAATCAACATTGATGCTGTGATCTTACCGGAAAAAGATGGGCTTCTGATATCCAATATTTAAGACAAAATAAACATTTTACCATTGGTACACGAATCGTGTACCATAATGTGTTTCAGCCCCAGTTCTAGCAAGAGACTCGAGGAACGAGGCTAGACATATTGCACCAAACCAAACGGCGTATATAGACTGAAATAACCAGGGGCTAGAAATTTGCATTCGATTGAGACTGCTGGCTTATTTCGCGGAACATAACTGATTTGAAATTAGAGTAAAAACGGAAACCATTGAATGTATATTAGTTTATATACATTCGTATTACAGTATTGTATGAGTTGCGACCCACTTGTGTCAATTTCTAGGTCCCAAATGTTAGCGATTTAGCTCCTTTAATAGAATCTGGACAATTAATTAAACCCTTATGATTGTGGAAGACGCACAGAAAGCTTATGGCCATACTTTACGTTTTATTGAAACGGGGAAATTCCATTAAACACGCAATTCAACTTTTATATAATTTAGTGATTATTATATTCAGCTTAATTACTATCAGTGTGGGTCGTTCACCCTGTTTCGGCTGTGAGGGAACTAAAAGTTTAGTATATTTCAAGGAGCTACATAATGCATTAAGACATGGTCAATGATATTTACCGATGTTTTACGAATTCCGATGAGAGTTGCTTCACCAGGAGCAATAGCTATACCATTATTACCAGGATGCGGGTGTTCATGAGGATCATGGATGGCCATCTAAAAATACAACATCTCTGATCAAATTCAACATCAAAATTTAACGTAATTATGTTAGTATTCAAACATACCTTTCACAACAATGTCATGTTCTAGGTATTTTGATGAATAATACTTTAGAAATGGTTTTATGGGACATGTGTCGCGAGATTGTGGCTTGTTTGACTAGCAATTGGAAACATACAAATGTCAAGGAACAAACGGTGAGCATCAAGTTGGAAAATTGAGTATACAGTCTGGAGTGAGTCACGAAAAGCAAGGATCGGGTCATGAAAATCTAATAGGCCTAGCGAGTAGAGGTCGCAAAGACGAGACACGAAAGCGAGTAGTGATTCAAGAAAAGCCTATATTTAGTCAAGAAAGGCGAGTAGTGTGTTACGAAAACAAAGCGAGTACCGAGTCCCTTAACGCGAATATCGAGTCCCGGCAAATCAGTATCAAGTGCTTGGCTTTGTGATAAAGCACAGAGAGCGTACAAAAGAAACCCACCACCAGTTAATTGTCCTCGAACGAAATACTCTGACAATCCCCGTTACCTCATAGCCTGAATCTCAGGGCATATTTCTAAGCTAAAATGTACTCAGATTGGTTGTTTTATATTTAATTAAGAAAGAAATAACCAACATTAGCCAACATTTATGACTGGCGTTGGTTTGTTAATATCATCTGCAGATGATATGCCAAATATTACGAAATTTAAAACAAATTCGTAAATACTGAACCCAATAAACCATTGTTGACATCTATGATTTTCTCTATAATTACAAAACAGAGAAGGTACAACCCAAGTCATCCCGAAGCTCAACTGAATAACTCGAATGCGAATGTCTATCATCCTCCGAATATATGTTAGATCAGCTTGAGTAACCCACATGTGGATAGTCTATCCTCCTATGAATACATATTTTAAATCGGCCTTACCTTTAAACCTGCAGCTGATGAATCTGTGAGTATGTAGCCTTTTTGGTTGATCGCTGCAATAAAATTTATTCCACCGGTTATACCAGTTGCGTCCGTTTTTCGAAGTCTTCCTATATCGTGATTAAATACAAAACATGTTCCCATATCCGTGAAGACCGGTTTCCATATAACTTCACATGGAATAAACTTGTTTTTCCAAAAGCAGGATTTTATGACATCCTTAGTCGAAATATTGGCGATATCATGAAATCTGTCGATGGTAAATTTTCCGAGACGAATATGCTCTGTGGCTGATTCATTGACACGAACTCTATCTCTGTAGCTGCTATACTTGAGAAAGTAATCAAAGACAGCGGATGGATGCTTGAATTTCTGGGTGTCAGTGTAACTCATATCACACAGAGTAATGGTGGGAAAATCTTGTTCACATTTTGGTTCGATTTTTATTGCTGTGTTAAAGTGATATTTTCTATATTTATCTAAAAGATCGTATAAAGTGACGGCCAGACCCACTGTCATTCCCAGGACACATAAAAGCCATACCAACCTGTGGAAGAATAATAATAAGAGATAGCAGTATATTACTGAGACGCACTGAAAACGGACAATTTTTATTGTTGATTTTAAATCTTTTTTGGGGCCATTTTTACAGTCTACGAGTGTCTGGGATTCGCTAAAAATGCTTGGTTTTGAGGACTTCGCTCCTCGGGTGGTCTAGCATTGGATGCACCGCGGATTGTGAATAACCACTACATCACTCTGTTATTAAGTACACTTTTATCTTGCCAGTTTAGGTGTAAAAACATCAGATCAGGACGATAAAATGTGAGATTGATTTTTTACCGATGACATCAACGCACCGCAGTTCCATTCTCTCAAAATACAAACTTAGAACTCGACAGAATGGGAATGGTGAAGATTGTGTGGTACGGTCAAGGGCTATAATATAATAATATGTGACTTTTAAAAAGCTAGGACCAGTACAACTCCTACATAGACACACACGTGGTAGTTACTGACTTTTGATTTTCACCCTTACGTTTCACAGTAAAGTACATTTGCTTTTTCTCCGTGGGTTTTTGTGGATTTCCGCGGATCGGAAAGCTGCATTATATCTCGTCAGCACATCCAGTCAAATCAGGGGGCGTTTTCTTTCCGTCTCAGTATTTAATTTCAGTCCAAAGTGTTTATGGCAACATTTAGTGGTCTGCCAGCTGTTTTCAATGTTTTCAAACTAGTAACAATTATTTTCATATTATCTATACAAGGAACTCGTGGCTTTTAATCGCCGCGAGATTCATAGATCTACAATGCCGAAATGGAATTGTATTGTTCTGAATAAATTTTACTGATAATATTTTCATAAAGGGAACAAAAAATTGTTTAGTAAAGCATAATATGGTATTCCAATTTGATTACACGAACACTGGGTAGCAGTCCGTATAATAGTTTCGGCTTGTATCCCTCTATGATATCTGTCCTTCCGTATGTACCCGTAACATATTTATATCTGTGAAAGAATTATTCGTATCTGCGGTGTTAATGAATAAATATTACCTAGTAGCCACAGTTTTTTAAGATTATAGGTTACCGTGTAAGTACTATCAGGGGCGCACAAGAGGGGGAAGATGGGGACTAACTCCAACCATAGCCCATTACCTTGTAGATACGGTATTTATGATATAGGGCTACCTTGGACTATTATGTTTATGAATAGCCCCTTTCATAACATTAATGGGGTGAACCTGTTTTATTATGCTGTTTTCTGTAAAGAAAAGTTGGCGAATGTATAAACATACACTATATGATACTAATATGCGAAAAGCAATGTACATGCAGATGATAATGTTAATGATATTCGGGAAATACCTGACAAATTTACTTCGCACTGGAGAAATCACATTTCGGCAGCCATGAGCCGTTACTTCGCCAACAATATGTTTTATAGAACATCCGTCATCTTCTGGTTGACTCTTCATGTTTTCGTGTTCTTGGGAAATGTTCCGTTCTGTTTTCAATAACACACAATCAGAAAAACCGCTGACGTTTACTTCAGATAATTACCGCCTGTACGCCTTTACGGGGACTCAATGATTAATAATTCAAAGATCGATTAGGATTATGAATTGGTTATGATTACATTAGAAATTGTTAGTTTTAATCGCTCGTGATGATTTCATTGCATGACAAAAAGAGGTATTGGTCCATTAGCTAAACTCTATATTACCAGCGTATTGGGGCTATAATTAAAGGTACAATTCTAGAAAGTCTTCCTATTATATTTTTTCATCACAACTTTGTTTCAGTTATTTTCGGTTTTAAGATAGATAAACGCTTAGTTCTTATCAAGAATACGTACTCAACGTTTATTGATCTATTTATATACCACGTTTATAATATATTTTCCTGGAGTGATATGATTAGATCAAATTAAGAAACTAAGAAAATTAAACGTTATTGAACACGGACGACAAGGGTATATGGCTATGGACCTTTGGATCTTCGCCCATACACACCGCATTTATCAGCACCCACAATAAATGTCAGCATTAATTAAACAATTTTCTTAGACTGTATTATTTTTACTAATGATGCATTGTGTAAGATTTGAATAAAGAGCTGGTCTTTCTTACTATACTGGTTCCAAAATTGATGAATGAAAAATGAATATAGTGAAAATTTCAGTCAAATTACTTTATTCTGAGCGAAGTTATGAGTGTTTGAAGTTGTGATTGTCTCGATTGTCAAGCACGTGCGCGCTGTATCATAAGGCCTGTCATTGAGTCAACTGGCGTGGTTTCGATTCCCCGGTTGTACGTGAAAAGGAGTTGGGTCGCCTATCGATCCTCGTGGGTTTTCTCCGTTTCCTCCCGTTTCCTTCCACTTGTAAAGACTCCTTCGCGCGAAAGAATTATTGTAATACAATTAAACCATATGTTAGTCCCGAAATGACCTAGTTTGTGTCGAGTGGACGTTAAACTCTCTCTCTCTCTCTCTCTCTCTCTCTCTCTCTCTCTCTTTCTAGAGTAAGGCATGGCAAGTACCTCTAACCGACCCAAAGATAGTGCGTGGTGCATCTGATTGTAGGGAGTTGATTATGGCCTTATCGTGTGATTAAATTCCTAAATAAAAATTTATATAACATTTGAAGCCAAAAAAAGACATACAATACGTAGATTTAGCTCTTACACATTGCCTCTATATGTTATACCTGTACTATTTTATATTTGATGAGCAAAAAATTTTTAGTCTCTGGTATTGAGCATGCCATGTTGATATATTTTAAAAACCACATAAGTATGATAACGAAAAATACATTTAATTAATTATTAATATCCACGAGCGTATTGGGGGACATAAGGGATGGATAATGTGCCAAGTAGAACTTTACATTTCACCCAGTTTTAATGGATTACATCTTATATTTTAATCATAATTAATTTTGATATCGTGCAAATTAATTATCATGACTTATACTTGAATTCCAGCGGTACAGAGCAGTGCAGGAAATGGTGCCTAGTTGTTTGGGTGGGACTAAAATCCCTGGTCAACACGGGTATTTATTGGCGTGCATGTATAAGAACTCTTGTCAGTTAAAAATCAATGAAGAGTAGGCGGAAAAGCCGCTGCCCGGTTAAGATTTCCCTCGTAGTGCTCTACGTGACATATGCCAAGCTTCGTTAATATGGTTGGTGTCATGTTCCTGAAGTAACGACCGCGAGTTTTATAACATCTAGACGTTGCTAGACTGGGCCCGTATTCAAAGGATATCTTAAGTCTAAGATAGTCACTTAACTACTAGATTTCACTCAAATATACGTAACTTCCTGTAAGTTAAGGGTAAGTGGTATTCAAAGGCAGTGTTAAGTATCGAATTTTCCCTTAAAGTTAAGCCGCCTTATTAGTGTTTGGTCCTTTAGTGGTATTCAAAGGCCAGTTTAACTGAGAAAAATCCACTTAACTTTAAGTGACCTATGGGAGGTACCTTAAAGTTAAGTGAGATTATAATGACTTCTTTATAACCGGAGTACACAGTGTAGTAGCAGGCCCTTAATGGCGATTTTGAAAGTTAGGGAATTGAGATTTAAACAAAAACAATGTCTCTGAGTGTAGCTGGCATCAAACGTTTTTTTTTTTTGTCATCAGCTTTAATTTTGTAGAGCCGTAATAGTGTTAGGTTTAAAACTACCTCCGAAATGGTCAAAGGTTTTTTACCTCGTTCATCTATCATTGCGTAATCAATTATGTTTTCCACGACTGTCATATAATAACGTTTGATGCGTTAAATTTATTTGTAAATTTCACATTGCGATGACATTCCATTGGAGTTTTGATTTCTACATGTTCTTCTCTTCGTTGTATGAATATACAAATGTATGATAAAGACTGCTGACTGAAGCGTGCCACCACTGGTTTACATTTAATTTCTTGCCTTTTAATCGTACACGCAATGTCATGACCAGTAATTTTATGAATTTCTCAAATGGTAGATTGATAAACAACACCGAATGATTTGTTTAGTTTAACTTTAAAGCCAATAGCCCTGCGTATTGCTTATGTGTTATTTCGTTATAATAAAGTTATATTATACTACCACAATTCGATATCTGCTATTGAAATCTATCGTTTTTGAAAAACATCTATTAGAAAACAGCTGTTCCGGTAACGGATGCGTACCATCATAATTTATCATAAATTATGGTCATACTATATTCATGCGTTACAATATAATATTTCGACAAACATTTTCCTAGTAATGACAACTAAGATTTTAATAGAGTATGGTGGTGCTCTTAAGGGGACATAACTTGCGTGCGACGTGAGTAATTCGTGACTTTTGGCAGTGGAGGTTATTCCATAAGTTAAAAATTCATACTTTTTAGCTAATGTTGGTATTCCATATTTTAAGCGAGCAGATAAGTTTTTCACATAGCCAAGTATATGTAAAATAGAGCTTTGAATACTGATTTAAGGTGAGACACTTGGTTAAGTGGAAAAATTAGGTATTTTTACTTAACTTGAAGAAAAATTTGAATACGGACCCTGGTCTCTCGCTTTCTGCTAAAATGTCTACATGTAGTAATCGAGTTGCAAAGTTCAATGTTAAGGTTTCCGTGGATATCACCATGTTTGATTTGAGTGTGTTCGTGTCACGACCTCTAAGTGGACATCTCTATTGTTCACGTGTCTGCAGTAACGGGAGATAGCGTAGCGTGGAGATCACCATGTTTGATTTGAGTGTGTTCGTGTCACGACCTCTAAGTGGACATCTCTATTGTTCACGTGTCTGCAGTAACGGGAGATAGCGTAGCTGTAAGTTCGGCAATTGCAAAGGTTTTCTAAAAGTTTAGTAAAAATACTTAATTTTTCCACTTAACTGACTGTATTACCATAAATCGGTATTCAAGGGTTATATTTTACATATATTTGGCTATGTGAAACACTTAACTGCACACTTAAATTATGGAATACTCACATTCGCTAAATAGTATAAATTTTCAATTTATGGAATACCCTTCACTGCCAAAAATCACGAATTTCTAACATGTATATAAGCAAGTTATGCCCCCTTAAGAGCATCACTATACTCTATTAAATTCTTAGTTTACATTACTAGGAAAATGTTTGTCGAAATATTATATTGTAATGCATGAAAATAGTATGCTTATAATTTATCATAAATTATGGTAGTGTGCATCCTTTACACCGGAACGGCTGTTTTCGTAGACCTTTTTTTTTTAAAAATTCCATATCAATAGATTACAATAAATAGTGGAAGTATAATGATGGATATTGTAAACTTTAATTTTTTAACAAAATATCAATAATAGAAAACAACATATTAGTAATACACAATGACCCTTGCCTTCTAAGTTAGACTGGACAAATCATTCAGTGTTGTTTATAAATTATCATTTTAGAAATTCATAGACATTGTGTAAGTAGCTACTTTTTAGATTTGCAAAGGCCTGGCGTTTACGGTACATTGTGTGTACGAAAGATGCATGTTGCATTATTTTTTTACCTAAATAAATACTACCGATTATGTATATATGTATATATGGGAATGAGTTGTAAATAAATCATGCCTTGCTTCTAGCGGTAGTATAAATAATTTCTGAAATCTATAAACCCATGTCATCACAAATGAATTTAACTTTATTATATGACAGTGGTGGAAACATGATTAAGCAATACGAACATAATAAATGATCGGAAAAAGATATCCTTGACTATCTCGATGGTAATAACCTTATACTCCATTATAATGGCACTACAACATCAAAGCTGACGATGAAAAAAAAATAAATTAAGGCCAGCTAAGCTCGGCGACATTGTGTTTGTTTCAATCTGAATCCCCTAACTTTTAAAATCGCCATTACGGGACTGCTACTACAGCGTTAAAATAAAGCATTATAATCTCACTTAACTTTAAGGTACCTCCCATAGGTCACTTAAAGTTAGGTGGATATTTCTCACTTAAACTGGCCTCTGAATACCACTTAAAGACCATACTCCTCGCAGTGTTTCGTTTGATTAGAGCTAATCCTACTCGCGTGCCATTGCTTCAGGAATATGCTGAAAGACTAACACTCTTAACTTTTAAAACCACTTGCCCTAAACTTACAGGAAATTACGTATATTTAAGTTGAAATCCTGTAGTTAAGTGACTATCTTACTCAAGATATCCTTTGAATACGGACCCTATAGGAGGTACCTTAAAGTTAAGTGAGATTATAATGACTTCTTTTAACCGGAGTACACAATGTAGTAGCAGGCCCGTAATGACGATTTTAAAAGTTAGGGAACTGAGATTGAAACAAAGACAATGTGGCTGAGCGTTGCTGGCCGCAAACTTTGATTTTGTAGAGCCATGATGGTGTATAAGGTTACTACAACCGAAATGGTCATATTATAAAGATTGATGCGTTAAATTTATTTGTAAATCTGACATTGCGATGACATTCAATTGTAGATTTTAGCAAATTTTAATACGGCCGCGAGAAGCATGGCACGGTTTATAATTTACAATTCATTCCCATATACATA